ACAGGTTCAGAACAATCACTGCACACACTTGGATCATATTCTGCTTGATAAAAGGTTTTTAAATATAAGAAATCAGCCTTTGATGTTACATTAATGAAATTCCTAATACAATTCCCTGCTCTACCTCAATGAGGCATTGACCCAAACAAATGTTCCTCCCTACCTCTGAGGATGCTTGCCATAGATGCAGGCGAAACGTCAGGAGAAAATGCCTCTAGAACATGGCCATATAGCCCGAAAAAACCTACAACAACTCAGTGATTCCGGCCATGAAAGCCTTCGACAATACAAATGTGCTTCTTTCTTATGTGGCTCCATCCAGTGAGGATACTTCAAAGCCTATCTAGTTCTGGCAGGAGCATATGGATTTTTGGAGAAGTGTGTGTGTGTGGGTGGATTTGGCACAGACAGGACAGGATCTTAGGCATTCTTTTCACAACTGGTTTTATTGAGGTAGCACTCTATAGGTTGAAAGGAAAACATAGTTTTTGTGTTTTGCCTTGTACTACAGAGTGCCCTGTCATGGTGCCTTTGTTGTTTTCTGGGAAGAAAATGAGTTAAAGCAGTTAAACCGGGATGAGCTGTGAAGAGCTTTTAAAAGCCCTTTGTCAAATAACTGTCGCTCTGTGCCAAGGGAAGGTTGGGCTCAGCCATTTCCAAACCGAGGGCTGCAGGCTTGTGTTCCTCAGCCAAAGGCATTAAAGCAGTTGCTGGAGCTAATGGCTTAAGCTGGGAACTGGAGTGGAAGAGGCAAAACAGTCCTGCTTTTTTTTTTACCAGATAAGGACATTTGTCTAAGTCCCTTTTACTGACATCTAGCTTGACCAACTGAGTGCTTTTTACTGCTTAGAGTTGCTACAGAGCCAAGTCGTGGGCAGCCCCTTTTCATTCTGTACTTGAAGCTTTGGGAGGAGAGCAATGTCCAATCTTGATAAAATAGTAAAGAGTAGAGACATCATACTGGCAACCAAGATCCGCCTAGTCAAAGCCATGGTATTCCCTGTAGTAACCTACGGATGTGAGAGCTGGACCATCGGGAAGGCTGAGCGAAGGAAGAGAGATGCTTTTGAGCTGTGGTGCTGGAAGAAAGTTCTGAGAGTGCCTTGGACTGCAAGAAGATCCAACCAGTCCATCCTCCAGGAAATAAAGCCCGGCTACTCATTGGAGGGAAGGATACTAGAGACAAAGTTGAAGTCCTTTGGCCACATCATGAGAGACAGCAAAGCCTAGAGAAGACAATGATGCTGGGGAAAGTGGAAGGTAAAAGGAAGAGGGGCCGACCAAGGGCAAGATGGGTGGATGGCATCCTTGAAGTGACTGGACTGACCTTGAAGGAGCTGGGGGTGGTGACGGCCAACAGGGAGCTCTGGCGTGGGCTGGTCCATGAGGTCACGAAGATCGGAGATGACTGAACGAATGAACAACAACTTGAAGCTTTGCGCACACACAGTCACAGCTTCAGGATTTGAAGCATTTGAACTCAGCTCCAGAATCTCCACTCTGTAGTTTCCGGTGCTTGTAGAGCTGTACTAAGGAGTGCAGCTCCTGCTTAAACCTGTAAAAATCACCTTGAAGGGGTCTGTACAATGCAAATTAATTCTAAAAACCTCATTTTTCTTCATGCAGACTTGTATTCTTTTCCTTTCTTGCATGCCTCCACTCCCCACCGGAGCTTTGTATACACAGCTGTGACTGCTGTCTTCCAGATACGTTCCTTCAAAACATGTGTTCCATGCATTAATAGGTGGGATTGCAGATGTGTAATTCACCAGCCAGCAATAAAAAGGAAATCAGTTTCTCCATCTGAACACAACTTTGCCAAGTAAACATAGGATCCTAATGAGATCATAAAGTTTTCCATGATGCAGCATTGTAAAGGGAACAACTTCTTGGTCAAATGGGCCCAATTTCACCTCTCTTCCCATCTCTTTTATTTTTTGAGAAAGGGTTCCAGGTCAGCCTTCATAGTTTTGGGGGGAAATATCCCCACCTCACCCCAGTAACACACACTTACACTTCTGAAATATATATATGAAAGAACACATATACCGTGCTTGGCTTCATGTAAGCTGCCTGAGTCCCCTCTGGGGAGATGGTGGCGGGGTATAAATAAAGATGATGATGATTATTATTATTTTACTGACACAAAAGCACAGTATGTCACAGCAAACGAGATCTATATGCTGGATTTCATTTCGCAAAATCACAAGTTGAACGCTTCCCAAGTGTCTAGGACTGTGTGATGTATTTTCGAATGATGCGCACAGATCCAAGTCAGGTGGCCTTTTGCAGTTGACAGATCGTGATTTTGTCAATGTTTATTGTTTCCAAATGCCGGCTGAAATCTTGTGGCACAGCACCCAGTGCACCAATGACCACTGGGACTACCTGTGCTGGTTTATGCCAGAGCCTTTGAGTTCAATTTTGAGGTCTTGATAGCAGCTGAGTTTTTCCTGTTGTTTTTCCTCAATGCGGCTGTCACCCGGTATGGCGACATCAATAATCCAGACTTTTTTCTTTTTCACAATGTCTGGTGTATTGTGTTCCAAAACTTTGTCAGTCTGGATTATTATTATTATTATTATTATTATTATTATTATTATTATTATTATATATGTGTGCGCACATGTTCTGCAAAGGCTCCTACATGACTTGATTGGTCTGGACCAAACTTGGTACACATATCTTTCATGATTTAACTGAAAATATTGGCATGGTTTCAGTTTAGTAGTCGACCTCATTTGGGACTAAGGCTCAAAAACCAAATGAGTAGGATATGCATTTAGCACTCAAAATCAGCCACAAGAGGGCAATAGAGAGATGGAAAGGGTACCTTAGAAGGAGAGATGATTGAAGAGCGCTAGAACATCACCAGGGAGACACTCTTAAGACAGTGGTTCTCAACCTGTGGATTTCCAAATATTTTGGCCTTCAACCCAGAAATTTTAACAGCTGGTAAATTGGCTGGGATTTCTGGGAGTTGTAGGCCAAAAAAACTTGGGACCCATAGGTTGAGAACCACTGCTCTAAGAGTCCCTTTTAGAGGAACGAAGCAAAGTGTTTTCACACGGATAGTCTAAGGGAAATCTTCAACTAACAATGAATATTTCTAATAAATAGCATTAGGGAATGCAAACATGGGCATATATGCTTGTTATAAATACATCACTATTGGCTGCTACTTCCTGGCGATGTCAGGTGGTGCGATACCGGCTAGACAGTGTAATATCTCCAGTGGTGGAGGGCACAGACACCCCGTGATAATGCGGCATGTCTCATTAAGAGCCACATCCACTGTTTTAGCGTGGTGAGATGTGTTCCACACCAGGCATGCATACTCAGCAGCAGAGTAGTATAGCACAAGGGCAGATGTCTTCAATGTATCTGATTGTGATCCCCAGGTTGTGCCAGTTAGCTTTCGTATGATATTGTTTCTAGCACCCACTTTTTGTTTGATGTTCAGGCACTGCTTCTTGTAGGCCAGAGCACGGTCCAGAGTGACTCCCAGGTATTTGGGTGTGCTGCAATGCTCCACTGGGATTCCTTCCCAGGATAGAGTACTGTAAGTTAGTAAATTGTCTGCAAGGATATTTAGTTTGATGATGAAGATGATAATAAATTTATTACCTGCCCCTCAATGCGACTTGAGTTACCAGGTATGGATTTTGAAGTTGCAGAAAAGAGAGGAGAGCAAGTATTGGATTGCCTGCAAAAATAGCAGTGGAGGGGAAATGGTTGTGGATTATTCTGTAAATTATTAGGTTACAGTTAATCCTTCATATCCAATCACCCAGGGACTGAAAATACTGTTTTTTTAAAAAAAAAAAATCCAAAAAGTAAACTTTGATTTTGTCATTTTATATAAGGGACTTGATTTTGCAACGCCACTGTATATAATGGGATTTGATTATCCAGAGATGTCAGTATCCCTGGGGGATCCTGGAGCCAAATCCCAGGAGATACCAGGGGCCTCTGTACTGCTTTTTAAAAGTGGAATTGAAGACTCCAGAGTTCCCTAGTTGACAGCCCTGCCAATTTCAAAGGGACTTGAAACATCATCTTAGTTCTTTGAGGACGTGCTAAGCTTTTGTGGTTGTGAGATGGAAGTGGGAGTTTCAATATGGGCAGTAGATTTTGTCATTTTATATAACCTGATGGATTTGTTATATTGATGTAGTGATGTATTGATATTGACATTTAATGATTTGTGATGCTATTGCTTTTAAATGCTTAATGATTTTGTATTGTGTATACCTAAATTGTTGTAAACCGCTCTGAGTCGCCTAAGGGATGAGAAGAGTGGTATACAAAATAAATAAATAGATAATAATAATAATACTTTATTTATACCCCGCCACCATCTCCCCCAAGGGGACTCGGGGCAGCTTACATAAGGCCATGCCCATCAATATAGTAAAACACAATATAAACACAAAAACACAACAAAAATAAAAAAATTACATAACCTTCTCTTCTTCTGTGTTCTGCTGTTGCATTGTGATTATAAATATCTGTTGGTCTCGAGTATGTCCTAAAAAGCTCCCAAAAACTAAGTTCGTAATATGTGCAGTCTTTCTGTAATATTATATTCGTAATTTATTCCAGTGGTTGAATCTTGGATCTTTGAGTCCGAATGACCCAGTGTTCCTGCTCTGAAGGAGATGGATTGGAGAGGCCCTGTTGGGCTTCTTGCTCCCTCTACCTATCTCATAATAAATCTCTTTAGGAAATTTTATAATGACAGTAAAATCAGCATAAGCCAAGTCCTAGTATCAATGGTGCTCCATGCAGTCATGCTGGCCACATGACCTTGGAGGTGTCTATGGACAACACCGGTTCTTCGGCTTAAAAATGGAGATGAGCTCCAACCCCCAGAGTCGGACACGATCAGACTTAATGGTGGGGGAAAACCTTTATCTTTACCTAGTATCAACTGGCCTGCTCTGTTACCTTTTCCTCTTTGGTTCGATTTGACGCTGACATCTCTCTCCTTTTTACAGGGTTGTGAAGGAAGAAATCTCCGATGACAATGCAAGGCTTCCCTGTTTCAATGGCCGAGTGGTATCATGGGTAAGCAGGGCTCTGGACTAGTTTCCTTTGCAGATTGTTGTAAAAAGGGCGGAATAAACAGAAAATGTCATATTGGAAAGAGTGGAGCAGTGAAGTGTCCATGTAATCCTTAGCTGAGGCAGTTCACCAGTCTTCCCCCATCTTGCAGGCATTATGGTATCAGAGGACCTAGGCTTCACTTCACTATCGGCCAGAAGGTTTTCATCTGGTGCAGGGTCTTTCTTTGATAGTGAATGACTCAGAGGTTTGGGTGGTGCAGAAATCAAGTGGGCCTCTGCGGAGTAAAGAGACCGATACCGAATTTCATTCCATGTTCAGGTTCACTTATTCTGGTTTTTGGTTTCTTCCCTGGAATTTAAATTACAAGGAGGAGATTTCAGAGTAAGATTATTGAACCCATAAAACCATCCGCTGTGCTGTAAGTCTCATGAAGTTCAGCGAATTCCCAGATGAACATACCAAGACTCCAGTCTTGGAGGAAGCATAATTGTAAGAGATTAAATAGTAAGCGGGTGAACGTCATTTATTAGGACTGAACTAAATCCTATCACTTTCTGTTCCTCAACATACCTATCAATAACATTATATAAAGCAGCTTTGAACAATTTTTACAACTTGGCTGGAGGTGATAGGAAGTGATGTTCAAAACGCTTCCGTGAAACCTGGTTTGGCAAGCCTTTCAGTGTTACAGGCTTTTATTAGATGTAATTATGTAATTACTGGCAAGTGACAACCTCTTGGGTTGTTGTAGGTTTTTTCGTGCTATATGGCCATGTTCGAGAGGCATTCTCTCCTGACGTTTCATCTGCATCTATGTTTCAACTGACCAACGTGATTAGCATTTGATGGCCTGGCGGTTTTTTGGTGTGGCTTGTTAGTGCCTGAGGGAATCTTTTGTTGAGAGGTGATTAACTGTCCCTGATTGTTTCCTCTCTGTTGTTTTGCTGTTGTAATTTTAGAGTTTTTTTAATAATGGTAGCCAGCTTTTGTTCATTTTCGTGGTTTCCTCCTTTCTGTTGAAATTGTCCACATGCTTACGGATTTCAATGGCTGGAGCACTCTCACAACCACCATGTCAGGCTACACAAATTGTTGCAACTCAGGATAGCTTTCACCTTGTTCCAGACACCACCACACCAAAGCTGTAGGTTTTGTAGTTTATTGAGAAAAAGGCGAAATCAAAACAAAGTATAAGAAATGCAAAAGTTCCATAGGCAGGATAAAGGCTTAAATGCAAAGACAAAGTTCCCAAGATCCAAAGGCAAAAAAACATGACGCATAATCCTTTAGCAATGGTCAAACAAGAGTCCATGGAAAACAGTTGAAAACAAGGCCCAAATCCCAGACTCAGGAAGCTGGAAGCGTGCTGCTAAAAGCCAAAGTTAATCCACAGAAAATTGCATGGAAAGAGCTACGTTGGACTGACAACCCCTGCTTGTCAACTACAAGGCTAAATACCCTTTGCAGACATGAGCGCATTGTGTTGACCTTTGGCACCCTTGGCTTCTCACTTACTAGCCAAGCGAGTGCTTCTCCGGAGCCTTAATTGCAGACAATCTTGTCTGCTCATTAATTCATTATCTTCAAGACTATGTAACCCCTTATCTTGGTCCATCATCCTATCCAATTCTAGTCGTCATTGTCCTTTGTCTGTCTGCCAGATTACCCAAGACCTGGTCGCATATCCATGTTTTTAGTTTCCTTCTAAAAGAGAGGAGGGATGTCGATGACCTAATTTCCCCGGGAAGCGAATTCCACAGGCGAGGTGCCACCACCAAGAAGGCCCTACTCCTTGTCCCCACCAACCTCACTTGTGATAGAGGTGGRGTTGAGAGCAGGGCCTCCCCAGAAGATCTTAAACTCCGAGGTGGGACGTAGAAGGAGATGYGTTTGGACAGGTATGCTGGGCCAGAGCGTATAGGGTTTTGTAGGTCAAAACCAGCACTTTGAATTGTGTTCGGAACTGGATCGGCAGCCAGTGGAGCTGACATAACAGAGGGGTGGTATGTTCCCTTTATGACGCTCCGGTGAGTAATCTGGCCACTACCCKTTGGACTAATTGAAGTTTCCGAACAGTCTTCAAAGGCAACCCCACGTAGAGTGCGTTGCAGTAATCTATTCGGGATGTGACAAGAGCGTGGACCGTATATTCAGTCTTTGTATTTTTTAAAAAATACAAASCATGAATATATTTTAATACAATTTACATGAATTGTAGCATAAACAGGTGTCGATATTTGTTTATAGCTAGAAGGAGTCTTGCTAAAGCTTTTGTGTAGCTGGGTGGAAGATCTTTTCATTGGCTGACATACTTCCCCAGTACTTCATTTTAATACTCCAGAGATCTTGTGCACAGTTCCCTTCTAAAGTCTTATTCGAAAAGATCCCCTACAACACATGCGTCCTGCAAATTTCAAGATTAGAATGAAAGACTGAAATGCATTCAGATCTCTATCTGGTCTAGTTTACTCAGTTGCAGAATGCTGAGACTTCTGAGCTTTCTTTGCACAGAATCCTCGACAGCTACGCCATCTGTTTCTAGCAGGACAGCTGGACCTTTGAGGCAAGGAGTGGGCCCCTTCCTTTGTGCATTGTGCCTGTGGCCTCCTGCTCCGACATCCCCCCCCCCATCAGTCTGGGAATTGTGTCGTCCACAGGGACCAGACTGCAAGCAGCTATTTCAATAATGCAGCTCTAATTTTAGTGGGCTTAGTGGGCGTGGACAGTTCAGCCAAAGTCTGTCCAGACAGTTCAAGAGGCTGGGGATTAGCAGGACTCTTCCGCTGAGAAGAAATCCAGGCTTGTTGGTGAGCAGAGTCTGAGGTGAATGCATCCAGCATTTTCTTCCTGCATTTGCATAGGAGAAGAGGTGCTCCTTCAGACTGTGAAGTCTTTTATAGGTCAACATGAGCATTTTGAATTTGGGCCCAGAAACAAATTGGGAAACCATGAAGATGCAATAATATGTCAATTGTGTTCCAGCTTCCAGTCAATAACTTGTATTAATGTTTCAAGAGCAGTATCATATGTGATGTACTGTGGTTATCTGAATAGGAAGTTATCAAGTATCACAATAATAATTAATACACTTATTATCTTCTAGCGCAGTGGTTCTCAACCTGGGGTCCCCAGATGTTTTTGGCCTTCAACTCCCAGAAATCCTAATAGCTGGTCAACTGGTTGAGATTTCTGGGAGTTGTAGGCCAAAAACATCTGGGGACCCCAGGTTGAGAACCACTGTTCTAGGAGGACTCAGGGTGGCTCACAAAACACTCAAGGTGTGACATGCAAAATACAATAAGTGCAAAACAAAACGTACATGTAGACAATAAACAATCAACACAATATCATAAATTCATAGCGCCCCCGGTAAAAACAATAAAATACAGCCATTGCTGTAGCGAAAACAGCAGTATTCAATCTCAGAAGCATAAAGTGCTAATAAAGAATCTAAAGGTCCTCATATATAGTTGAGTCACCTTCGGGTTCGAGAAAGGGGGGATAGAAATATTGTAACTAATAAATAAATAAATAAATTTGCCTGTGGTCCTACTCGCCACATGACCTTGGAGGTGTCTATGGACAACGCCAGCTCTTCGGCTTAGAAATGGAGATGAGCAGCAGCCCTCACAGTCAAACACAACTGGACTTAATGTCAAGGGAAAACCTTTACCTTTACCTTTTATATTATTGGTCGAAGGCTTGTCAGAAAAGCCAGGTCTTTAATTGTGTGCAGAAAGTTTGGAAGGTAGGAGCTAGCCTGATATCCCTTGGGAGGGCATTCCAAAGCCAGGGAGCCACCACCGAGAAGGCCCTCTCTCTCATCCATATCAATTGCACTTGAGACTGAGGTGGGATGGAGAGGAGGGCCTCCCCAGTAGATCTTAAACCTGTGCTAGTTTATAGAAGGAAACGCGGTCGTGGAGATAGGTTAGACCCCAAGCATATAGGGTTTTATAGGTAGTAACCTGAAAGTTACTACCTATAAAAAGTCATTGGAGGGAAGGATACTAGAGACAAAGTTGAAGTACTTTGGCCACATCATGAGGAGACAGCAAAGCCTAGAGAAGACAATGATGCTGGGGAAAGTGGAAGGTAAAAGGAAGAGGGGCCGACCAAGGGCAAGATGGATGGATGGCATCCTTGAAGTGACTGGACTGACCTTGAAGGAGCTGGGGGTGGTGACAGCAGACAGAGAGCTCTGGCGTGGGCTGGTCCATGAGGTCACGAAGAGTCGGAGACGACTGAACGAATGAACAACAACAACCTGAAAGTATGGATCACTGAGACCAGACTGTCTTTATCCTGATAAATCCGATAAAAGGTGTTTATTCTGTTACAGATAAGCTTTTTGTCTCAAATCGTGTTGATGATGATAATAATAATAACGATGATGATGATAATAAAAGTCGATGACATATTCCAAGTGTAGACTCTGCAGGGAAGCAGACGAAGCGATGGATCGCATACATAACTGCTGCAAGAAGATCGTGCAGACAGACTATATACAGAGGCAGATGATCCATTGCATCTTGTGCCACAAATATAATCTGCCTGCGACAAAAAAACTAGTGGGAACACAAGCCTGAAAAGTTGCTGAAAATGAACACGTCAAACTACTCTGGGACTTCCAAATTCAGACTAACAGATTTTGGAGCACAATACTCCTGACCTCACAATCGTGGGTATAAAATAGGTAAAAGTCCAAAAAGCAAACAAGCCAAATAAAGCAGCAAAATAAGCAGTGTCCAAACATAGGAATAATAGCAATGTCCAAAAAACTTGCACAAATAATCCAATGCAATGAATGTCCAAAATTCTTCAATAGGACCATGAACAGACTAGCCCCTGCTAATCCACTTGAAAAGCAAGATTTATCCTTGGAGACGAGACCACTTGAAACAGGAGTTTCCATGAGACTTGAGCTTGATTCCAAACGATGCCATATCTGAAGAAGATTCTCTAAGGGCCCTCTATAAATCCCAAAAACTGGTTCCTACTCCCCCCAGTTTTTGGCCTTAACTGCCGAGTTCTTTCTGATCTGCGTAAACATTGGGCCTCTCAACGGTTCTGGCTAATTTCCAGACGACGACTGGTCTTCTCTCTATCTCCTCATTAACTCTACCAGGTGTCAAGCTATCTTGCAAACTCGAGCCTGGAGAAGGGAGTAAACTTTCTTCCCCTGCTCTGAAAGAAACTTTCTCATGAGAATTTGGCCTTTCCCCTGAACCCTCTCGATCAGTGTCTGCAGTAACCTTATTGTCCAAAGTGTCTCCATTTTGCACCTCATCCTCATTGATCACATCAGACTGACTATCCAAATCAGAACCAGAAACATCAGAAGCATTAGGAGGTGGAAACACAATCACAGATTCAGGCTCAAACACTGGCTGAGGCCCAACAATTGTCTCTCTTGGATCTAGTGAGTTGGTGAAGGAGAGAGGCATATTATGCATCGCACTGAACCTCAAGTCCCTGGGTATCTTAATTCAGTTGTTTCATGTTGATGTACAACAGCAAGAGAGATAAGATAGAATCCTGCAGAATCTCAAAGTTCAAAGGTTATGTGTTTGAGAAAAAGTTCCCCAGCGTGATCTCCCTTTAAGCTGCCATGAAGGGCCGGGCTGTAGCACAACAGGTTAATCATCAACTGCAGTAAATTTTACCAACTGAAAGGTTGACAGTTCGAAGCCTGAATCAGGGTGAGTTCCTTACCTTCAGCCCAGCTCCCTGCCTACCTAGCAAATCGGAAGCAGAAATGTGAGTAGATAAATAGGTACCACATTAAAGCGGGGAGGTATTTAAGCACGGAAATTCTACCAAAAAGCAGAGCACAGCCTACAAGATGCTGAAAGATGGGGAAACCTACATATACCTCTATCTATGTTGTCTGTCTTGTCATGTATAACGACATTGAATGTTTGCCGTATGTGTGTTCTGTGATCTGCTCTGAGTCCCCTTCAGGGTGAGAAGGGTGGAATATAAATACTATAAATATAAATAAGTAAATAAATAAATAAATATGATACAATGGACTATTGGATAGCCTAAATATTTGGTAGTATTTCCTTTGTTCTACAAAATTGATTTTCTTTTGGCTCAAGCTTGTTTTATCAGCTGTGTCCTTTCTCTTTCCAGCTTGTATCAGCTGAAGGCTCTCATTCGGATGCTGGATCTGTTTGTGCCGACAATCAGCCAGAGCTACCGCCCTCCATTGAGCGAACAGGAGGTATAGGAGACTCCAGGCCACCTTCTTTTCAGTAAGTTAAATGAAGGTGCAGGAAGCTTGATTTGGGAGACAAATGATCAGATATGCTGAAGGAGGTGTCCTTGAGATCTTGATAACTTCAGGTTAAGACAATCTGAGCTTTTGCCTCGGAATTAGTCCTAAGTAATATAGGAAAGAATTATTTCTGAGGTCTGAAATGCCCTAATCAATTAGCAAATGAAGCTGTAAATTGAATTTTTAGTCTAGTTTCCCTTCGAGACACCATGTCTGTCCAACATTTTAAGGGATACTACACTAACTTTAAGTCCTGCTGTGAGTAGAAAAGCACACAATGTAGACTAGTGGTTCCCAACCTTTTTTTTTTTTTAACCACTTTGACCAGGGACCACTTTCCAACATTAGTGCCAAGCAGTTTTGGGCCAACTTTAGATTCGGTTTCGTTATTTGGGGTGCTAATTCAAAAAATTGCATTGAATAGACCACATCAACTCTAGTTTCTGACACAAAACATATGCCATCCAGTAGTCGCCATCTACTTGCTCACAGAAAACCATATTTAACAATCTAGAGCTGATATGGTAGTAGTAATCTTTCGTGGGTAGTCAGCCTCTTCCTTACTGACATCCCCCTTGCCTTGGCACTATAAAAGGGTTTCGCGAGACCAGTAACTCTAGTTTCCGCATGGTTTTGAGGCAATGGTGTAGGAATGGCGAGGCCATAGACCATATTTTGTCTTGAGGACCATTGGTGGTCCACGGACCACAGGTTGGGAACCAGTAATGTTGACAGAGGCTGGTCACCTGCTTTGTATGCAGAAAGTCGTCTTACTCCATAATCACTCCAATAAAAATGGATCTTGAGTAGCAGGATTAGTGAATATTTTTCCCCTAAAGCTTGAAGAGTAGCTGCCAGTCACAATAAAGAGTTTTGACCCAATAGGCTTCTGGCCTGCTCTGGAGAAATTGGAGAGTTACCACGAAGTGCTTTCCCACATCTAAGGGATAACTATTATGAATGGGAGAGTGGCTGAAGTGGTAAAGGTAGGGAATTCTTCTTACATCTGCCTTTTTGCAGTTTCTGTGATGTGGTGGGAGTGGGTAGGTAGACCTGGAACACTTGGCAGGATTACATAATATTAATAGGTGCAATTGGATGATGCATATAGGTGCAACTTGGCAATGCCAAGACATCCCTGGCTGGCCACCAGCACTAACTCCTGGTCGATTTAAATGAATGTAATTGTATGTTGTACCACCCATCTAAGACTCTTTGAGAGACAGGGAGAGTCATATATTTTGAAGGTTTTCTCAAGTTTCTTTTTTTAAAGAAAACATTGTATTGTTGTTAAAAATATTCTGCCAAGTTAAAACCTCACTGTAAGAATTGCTTGGATAGCTTTCTCTATGATCTGGTGCGGTGTTTTTTTCCACATACAGGGAATTTGGGTTTTGTTTTTGTTTCTTTAAACATGGAGGGAGAGCCAAACGTGCTGCCCCTGAGGTGGGACTTGGTCCAAGAAAAATGCAGGACGTGCTTCTATAGCTTTGAGTTGATCTCCATCCTCTCTTTTAAACCTCAACTTTCTTTGAGGAATTTCTTTGTAGAAATTTTTGTTTGTGCACTGACATGCAGATTTCTGGATTTATATACAGTATGTGCTTTACTTTGCAGCCCCAACACCGGAGGAAGCCGAGAGAACCTGGATAATGAGACAGAAACCGACTCCGTGGTGTCGATACAGAGAGAACGACCCCGCAGAAAAGAGGGACCTGAACACGGTGCGTCCCTCTCTTCTTACCTGGAGTTCACTGAATGTTCTGTCGTGTGCTGGGCCTGTAACAGCTGTCTTTTCTTTAGGACGTATACTTTAAGCCCAGCGGGAAGCCAGGGCGCCTCAAAGAGAGGTTCTCAGGGATTTTTCTGAAGTGATGGTCTTTAGAGTCTTTAATGATACAACAATGTCTTTATTATGGAACAAACAACAAATCTTCAATGGTTCAAACAACACTTCAAGGCTTTCTTAGTCTAGTCCTCAATGGACTGGTACCTGACTTTGATTAACTGTACTTTCTCTGTAGAAAAAAACCCTATTTAACCTCTCCCAGGCTGTTTACTATCTGCCTCATCGGTGTGGGTCCTACTACCGATTCCAAATGTGTCTGGGTATCGAATAGACCTACCAGCTGAGGCTTGTAGATATTTCAGATGGAGTTCCGTGGATCTGTAGTGCTGTCCTCCCTCAGAGAATTCTTTGAGAACTTCAGGGCTGTTTTCCCTCTGTTTGCTGTGAGGCTGAAAGGCTGTGAGCTCTCAGTCAGATCCTTGGGACCTTTTCCCTGGAATTTCTGTTTCGGTTTCCCCGGATGTTCTTGAGAAAAGAAGCTTTTCTACGGGACGAGCTGGTCTATGTCCTATAGTTTAGCTTCCTTATGAGAGACTGCCCAAAAAATGGCTCCTTTCCCTCCCGGAGCCCTGAACAAGGGGCGGAACCAAAGCTTAATTATGATGGACAGGAGGCCTGCCCTATGACTGCAAACAGATAACAGAAAGAAAATAAAGTTGGAGCTCCTGGTACAGCCGTACCAGCACAGTAGCAATGAAGTTCCTGCCTAGCAAACAACACTGCTGTGCAGCTGTGTACTATGGACTTTAATGCTATGCATTCTCTCAGACATATCAGGGCATGATTATTTTCCATGCAAAAGGATCCTTACGAGATTTATTTATTTACCCTATTTATATCCCGCCTTTCTCTACCCTGAAGGGGACTCAAGGCGGCTTACGTATAGGTAATTATTCAATGCCTTAAAACACATACAATTTCAATAGCATTAAGATTAAATTGAATTAAATGAAAATTAATACATATTAAGCATTTAAAAACATTTCATTCTATACTGAAATCATGCCATCCATAATCGTAGTCCAAGCGGTTCCATAGTCATTGCACATATTTCAAATTTGTTATTGCACTGTACTATTCTCCAAAAGTCTGATCCCAGAGCCAAGTTTTTATTTTCCTTCTGAAGGCTAGGAGGGAGGGGGCTGATCTAATATCGCTGGGGAGGGAGTTCCATAGCCAAGGAGCCACCACTGAGAAAGCCCTGTCTCTTGTCCTCACCAGTCACGCTTGCGTGGAAGGCAGGATCGAGAGCACGGCCTCCCCAGATTATCTTAATCTCTGAGGTGGTTTACAAGGGGAGATATGTTCAGATCAGTAAGCTGGGCCGGAACTGTTTAGGGCTTTAGAGATCTAGGTATATTGCCCCTACTTCTACCCTCCAAATCCTAAATTTTGCTCACTTCTTACTTCTTTATACAACTATGTTAAAAATGGGCAAACTGACCTTTTCTTTTGAAAGAGAGGAGAACATATAGTCCAGTTTCCAGGAGACTGTCCAACATCAAATACCAGTAGTTTCTGCTAGAGTGAATTGTCTACAAATATGGGGGCACTGTTGTGAGTTTTCTGGGCTGTATGGCCATGTTCGAAAAGCAAATATGGGGAGCTATGAAAATATTTATGAGGGTTGAATGAAAAGTAATGCCTCCACCTTCGTAACTCCTCAACAGATGGCAATACTGGTATTTGGCAGGTACTGGCTTGTTCAGTAGACTCTCCCCTACAGTTCCATTTTGGTGGGAAGCCTTAGCATTGAACGGTTGTGTTGTTAAAGTGCGAAGTATGGAACCCTGCACAGACAGTCGGTCAATGCGACTTAAGCAACATGCAGTCATTGAATTCTTGACAGCAGAAAGTGTCACCCCAAAGGAGATTCATCAGGGATTGCAACCTGTTTATGGTGATTCTGTTGATGTGAATATTGTGCATCGTTAGGCGAGTAAGTTTAAAGATGTTGAGGTGCCACCTTCTGTTGTCAAGAATTCAATGACTGCACATTGCTTAAGTTGCATTGACCAACCGTCTGCACAGGATTCCATACTTTGCACTTTAACAACACAACCGTTCAATGCTAAGGCTTCCCGCCAAAGTAGAACTGTAGAGGAGAGTCTTCTGAACAAGCCAGTACATGTGGACAAAAGAATTTATTTGATTTTTGATAAATCAAATAAGCAAGTTTCTGTTATTAACATTTATATTACTATTTTTAAGTACAATTTATGACTATTCCAATTTTCATAGCATCCAATGATGACACAAAGTACAATGCTTCAGGTTCCTAAATTTATCACAACCCCACAGTCTCCTTGTGATCCCTTTCCACGGGATGCATGTTGCTGGCTTTTGGGAGATTATTGCTTTTGTACTGAACACTCCTACTGTTGTTCTTGGCTTCTCATGACTCCAGCACCCAGGGTGAACGGGATGGCCAAAGGGGAACGTCGGCGGGAACTCGGTGGCTATGAAAGCTCCTCCACCCTCATGAGCAGTGAACTGGAGACCACCAGCTTCTTTGATTCAGATGAGGATGATTCCACCAGCAGGTAAGCAAAAAGAGAGGTATGGTTTGAGGGAATGGGCTTACTTGACTTAGAGACTAATGAAAGTATGCCAGAAAAATAGCCCCTTATCCTCCGTTTTCCTTTCTGATGCTTAATGGGTTCAAGATAGGCAGCCTTTTCTCATATTGTGTTCATAATGTGATGTTTGCAAGAGTAGCACTGTAATACTTCTGGTTCTAGGAAGGCACATATAGCACATGTGCAAAATTGTTTGTCTCATCTGCATCTGACACACTTAGGTGATTTTGTAGTATGCGCCTAGAGCAGTAGTTCTCAACCTTCCTAATGCCACGACACCACAACACAGTTCCTCATGTTGTGGTGACCCCCAGCCATAAAAGTATTTTCGTTGCTACTTCATAACTGTTATTTTGCTACTGTTATGATTTATAATGTAAATATCTGAAATGCAGGATGTATTTTTGTTCACTGGACCAAATTTGGCACAAATACCCGATATGCCCAAATTTGAATACTGGTGGGGTTGTGGGGGGATTGATTTTGTCATTTGGGAGTTGTAGTTGCTGGGATTTATAGTTAACCTACAATTAAAGAGCATTCTGAACTCCACCAATGATGGAATTTAACCAAACTTGGCACACAGAACTCCCATGACCAACAGAAAATACTGGAAGGGTTTGGTAGGCATTGACCTTGAGTTTTGGAGTTGTAGTTCACCTACATCCAGAGAGCACTGTGGATTCAAACAATGATGGATCTGGACCAAACTTGGCACAAATACTCAACATGCCCAAATGTGAACACTGGAGGATTAATGTTTGTTGTTCATTCGTTCAGTCGTCTCCGACTCTTCGTGACCTCATGGACCAGCCCACGCCAGAGCTCCCTGTCGGCCGTCACCACCCCCAGCTCCTTCAAGGTCAGTCCAGTCACTTCAAGGATACCATCCATCCATCTTGCCCTTGCTCTTCCTTTTTCCTTCCATTTTCTCCAGCATCATTATCTTCTCTAAGTTTTCTTGTCTTCTCATGATATGGCCAAAAGACTACATTGGAGAAAATAGGCCTTGACATTTGGGAGGTGAAGTTGCTGGGATTTTTACTTCACTTACAATCAAAGCACATTATGAACCCCACCAATGATAGAATTGGGTCAGACTACCCACACAGAATCTCCATGACCAACAGAAAATACTGTGTTTTCTGATGGTCTTTGGCGACCCCTCTGACACCCCCTCTTGACCCTCCCAGGGGTCCAAAACCCCAGGTTGAGAACTACAAGCCTGGAGTAATCATAACATGAGAACTAGATTCATAGAGCTAGAGGGAGTTTCACAAATCATTTCTTCGAACCCCTTCTCTGAAGTCTGATAAATTTGGTTGAAGTTGTTATATCTGACAGTGCTAAATAGGTTTGTGGAAGATTTTGTTTGCCTTTCTGTACCTTGTCCTCTCATATCCATGAGCAGCAGTAGCTAGAGACAAGGTATTTTGTAATATGAACATGGAGCCCTCCACATTTCCCCCTTTTTGGCAAATCACTAACCAATGTATTGTAGACTTTTCTTTTTACAAATGGCTACTATGAGATGACAATACCACTCTGTGGAGAAGGTAGTAAAATAGTAATGTATGGCAGGGAGGAAGCAGAACCACTCCACAGCCAAATCACCTCTGTCATCTCCCAAAAGAAAAACAGTGCTCATCCTGATGAAAATAAAATATGCACTAAGGGAGATGCAGCCCAAGATAGATACAGAGTTGGTGCAAAAACATTTAGCTGTCTTAAATACATTCAGGCCTCCAGGGTTAGATGAACTCCATCCAAGAATATTAAATGAGATTGCAGATGTAATCTCACAGCCTTTAATATGTTTGAGAATTCTTGGAAGACAGGTGAAGCGTCTCCAGACTGGAGGGAGACAGATGTTGCCCTCTTTTCTGCAAACATCTGGAGTATCTTGAATATCACTTTATTTGTCTTTGGTTTTGGAGAAAATTCCTTCAGTTTTGGACCCCACCTCAACAAGAATATTGTCAAGCTGAACTGAGTTTAGGGGAAGGCAACATAAATGTTTGTCGCCTATGTTGTAATCTGAATGTGAGCGAAATCCTATGCAGAACAACTGAAGAGGTTGGATATGCCTCTCTTGGAGACTATTGAGAGGTGATATGATGGCTATCTTCATAGCTAAAGGGGTAATAGAATGAAGATGGTGCAAGGTTGCTGTTTTGTTTTCCAAAAGGTTAGGATTTCAACAAATGAATTCAAATTGCAGGGAAGGACATTCCAACTAAACATTAGGAAGAGCCTCCTGACTACAAGTTTCATGATAGTAGAATGGGCTACTTTCGAAGGGTGTGGATTGGGATGAAGTTTTTTAAACAAAACTGGGCTGTCAGAATTTCTTTAGAAGTAGATTCCCCCCAATGCAGTTCTGTGAACATTATGTAAGATTACATGTCAAATTATGAAAAATGTATTTCATTGATGCAGAGAGCGCTGTTACCTTCCCACCGAAACAGTACCTCACATTTGCATGTTTTCGAACTGCTAGGTTGGCAGGAGCTGGGGCTAACATCGTGAGCTCACCCTGCTCCCCAGATTCGAACCACCAACCTTTCGGTCAGCAAGTTCAGCAGCTCAGTGGTTTAACCCGTTGTACCACCAGGGGTATAGTCTACCAAAAGGGAAAAGTAAAACTGAGGGCCATCTTCAGTAATCCTCCTCACTGGCAGCTGAGTTGTAATAAGGAAGGTTCGTACAAGAAGATGAAGATAGGCAGATCCCGAAATTTTTATCAAGCAGAATATGACCCAAGTGTGTGCTGTGATTCTTCTGAACCTGTGTCATCAAGGTATTCTTTCTTCAATTCGCATAATCTCTGATCATTGGTCATACTGGCTGGTACTTCTGAGAGTGTAAGTTCAAAACATCTGACGGGTCGATGGGCCAATGCTGCTCTTTATGTTTACAATTGCAAACATTCAGTGCCCTTGTTGCAATGAAATACAATGAGAGACAAATACACAAACAGAGGCAAAAGCTTCTCCTTTCATTTCCAGCTCTGGAGGTGTTGCTCATCTCCAGCTCTGGGGGAGGTGCTCTTCTCTGTTTCCAAGCCAAGGAGCATGCGTTGTCTGTAGACACCTCCTGGTCGTGTGGCCAGCATGACTGCATGGAGCATCTGTTTGCCTTTTCCTGCCGAAGCAGTACCCATTGATCTACTCACATTTGCATGTTTTTGAACGGATTGATTGGCAGAAGCGGGGGCTCACTGAGGGAACTCACCCGGCTTCTTGGATTTGAACTGCTGACCTTCTGTTCAGCAAGTTCAGGAGATCAGCGCTTTAACCTGCTCCACCACCGGGGGCTCATTTGCAGCATAGACAAATGAATTATATTTTAAATGGTCTAATTTTTTTTAAATTTGTGTAAGTTTTCAGCATACACAAATTAAACATTTAGACCATTTGAAATATAATTAATTAAAAACTGGCAACAATAAATAAAAGACCAGCACAGTATACAAAACTCCCCCCCCCCCCCCCCCCCCCCGTTGCACCTCAGAATAGATTCACCGTGCTGAAATCACCAGAACTGCACACAGACTGAAGTTTTTGTAGTTTATTAAAAGGTAAAGCTGAAAAGTTTAAAAAGCAAATAATGTTCCAAAAATCAATAAAAGCATAGCACTGTAAAGCAGAATTCCAAATGGCACCAACGAAACAAAGTCCCATGAGAACATGACAAAATCCCAAGACCACGGACACAACTTCTCAACCAAGCTGCTTGGTTGAGAAGTTGCTCTGACAAAGGTTTGTTTTCAAACACACTGTGTATTACCCTTTGCAGTACATGAAAGCATTTCTTTGGCTTCTGGCCTCCTTCTTGTTGGCTATTCTCACACTCCTTCGAACTCTGAATTCCAAACAGTCAGCCTGGTTGCCTTCCAGCCTACTATCAGGCCGGGAACTGTCCTCCTTTTCTGAGTCAATTTGCACCTGGCTAGTTTCAGTATCAAAAACATCACTCCCCACTGTGGGAAACTGAACTTGAACACCCTGTTCCTCATTGTCTACAACAGGAACATTTTGAACCTGATTGTGAACCTGAATCCCATCATCCTCATCAGAGTCACTCTGAGACCCCATCTGAGTCACAACACTATCAGTCTGTGTCTGTGGTTCCAGCTGAGTCATAATACCCCCCCCCCCCAACAAACCCCCTAATTCTCAAAGAACAAAATAATCTTCACCTTCCTAGCTCAGTTGGTACATTTCTTCTGGAATTTTTGAGTCTACTCTGCTTCTCTATCAGTTGTTAGGAAATGTGGGAGTTGAAATCCAAATCGCTTGGAGAGCCAAAGTTTGCCAATGCCTATTGTAAGGGATGATTTGGTACCTATTGAATGGGGTAGCTCTGTCTTGCTGAGGCCCTCTGGCCATTTCTAACCTTGTTCCTGGGCTCTGACATTGATATGTTTCATTGGTCTCCAGCGTTGTGCCTTTCCTGTTAGTAAACCTGTGCCTCTTTGCATTGCAGGCTTAGCAGCTCCACAGAACAGAGCAGTGCCTCCCGCCTGATGAGAAGGCACAAGCGACGTCGGCGGAAACAGAAAGTACCACGTATTGAGCGGGTGAGAAGTCTGGGGAACGTCTTTGGGTGGTGATGATGCCAGACATTACCTCACAAATTTTGGAGCTGAGCCCAACTCCCTATCAGTGGGTTAAAATCCAGTTGTTTCCTTGATCACATTCTTGTTCCTTCTGTTTTAGTCCTCGTCCTTCAGCAGCATTACCGATTCCACCATGTCGCTGAATATTATCACGGTCACCCTAAACATGGGTGAGTATTTATTTATTTATTCATTAATTTACTTCATTTATATACTGCCCCTCTCAGCCCAAGGGCGACTCGGAGCATTTTATTTATTTGTCGTGTCAGGGCAACCAGTCAATTGTATTACATTTCTAACAGAATAAAACAAACAAACAGACAAAATACAAAATTTGCGAGTTTGGTAGTTGATTAAATGTCCTTTGACCAGTAGCTGGTCACTTGGAGTGCCTCTGGTGTTGCTACAAGAAGGTCCTCCATTGTGCATGTGGCAGGGCTCAGGGTGCATTGCAGCAGGTGGTCAGTTCTTTGCTCTTCTCCACACTCGCATGTCATGGATTCCACTTTGTAGCCCCATTTCTTGAGGTTGGCTCTGCATCTCGTGGTGCCAGAGTGCAGTCTGTTCACTGCCTTCCAAGTCACCCTGTCTTCTGTGTGCCCAGGGGGGAGTCCCTCATTTGGTATCAGCCACTGATTGAGGTTCTCGGTTTGAGCCTGCCACTTTTGGACTCTCGCTTGCTGAGGTGTTCCAGCGAGTGTCTCTGTAGATCTTAGAAAACTATGTCTTGATTTAAGTCGTTGACGTGCTGGCTGATACCCATAACTCGGATAACTCGGAGCAGTTAACAATAAGCAACAATTCGATGCCGGTGCAGTCACAACAAATTAAAACAATCATAAATACTTTAAAATACTAACAGCAAAATAAAAACATAAAAATCATACATAGCATTTTAAAACCTTATCAAAGTGTCTCCATCTTTCCATGTCATTGGTTGAAGTGTCTTCGCCCTCAATTGGCCCTTTGACCAGACTGCTGGATAAAAGAAACTAGGGAAACTTAGAATTAGGAAGGCATTCGTGGTGGTGAGGGTGTCTCTCAAATTCTCTGTTGAGCTTGATATGGCCAAATGATTCATGTAATCAGATGGGTGTGTGTAAAAAAAATCGAAAAGGAATATTGGATTAAATTAAACCAAATATTTAGTCTTGCCTTACTGTAAGCTTCCATGAACAAAGGAAAGGTAGAATAAAATCTATATAAATAAGAATGTAATGTTTGTTTGTGGGATTAACATAACTCAAAAACTACTGGACGAATTGACAGGAAAGTTGGACACTACACCCCTAACAGATCAACGAGTGACCATCACTCATTAACCCCTCCCAAAAAATAGCGGAAAGGACTTAAAACCCAAAAATGCTAAATGATGATACAGCACATGTGTTGAAATGGCAGTTCCCAGCATCCTCTAGGGGAGGAAGATGCTCCAAATGCACTGCTTCCAAGCTGCAAGCTTTGCTTCTTCTTGGATTTCTTTGAGAGCATCCCAACCCATACATATTTCCTATTTCCTATTCCTGGGCTGCAACTCCCAGCAATCCTCCAGATAGATAGATTTGATGAAGATAGATAGTAGGTAGATAGTAGGTAAATAGCTCAATCAGGAAGACTGCTGGGAGTTACAGTCCAAGAATAGGTAGAGAAGAAAGAATAGGTAGAGAAAAAAGAAAGAAGAGAAAGAAAAAGGGAGGGGAAGGAAGGAAGAATAGATAGGGAATAGATAGAGAAGAAAGAAAGAAGAGAGAAAAAGGGAGGGGAAGGAAGGAAGAATAGGTAGGGAATAGGTAGAGAAGAAAGAAAGAAGAGAAAGAAAAAGGGAGGGGAAAGAAGGAAGAATAGGTAAGGAATAGGTAGAGAAGAAAAAAGGGGAGGGAGGAAAGAGGGAGGGAAGGAAGGAAGAAGAGAAAGGAGAGAAAGAGGGAGGGATGTTGGCCACAGCAACACGTGATGGGTGCAGCTAGTGGTTAAATCAAAATACATTCATTTTATAGAAAGCTGCCTCCTTTATAAGTCTTTTTGCACTACTAGGAAAACACCAGAAATATATTATCTCTATTTCCAAATCCTATGTTTCTTCATTTTGTATTCCACTATTTTAAATATCAGTGCTTTCTTTCCAGAACTCCTTTAATACTTAATATCTTGATGTTTGTTTTAATGTCACATTTTTTAATTGTGTCAAAAGCGACGGGAGGAGGGATGCCCGGATGCATTACCATCCTGTGGGAGGCTTCTCTCATGTCCCTTTAATGCCACTACTCCCCATCATTGATCTCATCCCTTCTACAATATTTTACTGTGTTTCTCCCTTTGTGAGCATTTTGCCACCCCCATCTCCTTCAAAGGCCTGATACTTCTAGACATTTACTGATATAATTTATGATAAGAGCATTATAATTTAGAATGATCATCCATTCCTTCATGTCTTCATGGTTCAATTTTTGTCAATTGAAAAGGCTGTAAACAATAAAAAAAATCACAGTATATACTTGAGTATAAGCTGAGTTTTTCAGCCCCCTTTTTAGCCCTTTGACTTGGCTTATACTCGAGTAAAAGTTATTTATTATTTTACTCTGTTGTTATTATTATTATTAAATTTATTATTTTACTCTATTATTATTACATTAAAATTATTTTACTCTATTACTATGTGTACAGAAGTTATTGATACTGTGTATATGTTTAACTGTTAGAATATATTTGTGTTGGTAACAGTAGCTGAAAGCTAGAGCTAACTGGTTGTATCCACAGTGGCGTTGCCAAGGAGACCAGGCAAGAGAGTGAGAAGTGGGTGGAGCCTAGCAAGAGAATGTTATCTGCGTTTTGAAAAGAAGCAGTTTAGTTTAGCAGTTGGGAGTTAGGAGTTCGGAGTTAGCAGTTGAGAGAGGAGAGAGGAGAGTGGAGAAGCAGTGTGTGTGAATAGCCAGAGGTTTCTTCAGTCTAGGAAGGCTGAAGGGGAAAACCTAATTAGTTTCATTAGTCAGAGAGGACTAAGGGAAGCTTGTTTAGATCACTAGTTAGGAAATAACTAGAGATCTAGGATTTGATCAAGAAAGGATCAAATAGAAGGCTATTCACCACAGGAAACATTGTTTAAGAAAGTGCTTCACCACAGTAAAAGTCAATCACAAGTTGTGTCATCTAGAAGTGTGAACTGTATTTGCAAACCAAGTTACATTAAAAGTTCTCTAAGTTATTCCAAGTTAACTACCAGCCTGCAACCATACGCTTTGTACAAAATAAACTTATTAACTTTTGTTGAAGACCGTGTCATCTCCATTTATCTGCGTCTGGGGAGCCAGTTCTCATCGGCAATACCTCACGTTGGTGGCAGTTACCTGAATTACATCTATAATCATCCACACCTGTATAATTGGTGGCAGAATTTAAGAACAGTCTTTACTTTTGGTGACAGAGGGTGGGTTCTTTAAAGTTAAAAACCCTATACCCTGTCGGCTGTTGGAATTGCAGCACCTTAGCAATTAGCACAATTGTACAATTGGCTAGCGTCTTCACAAATTTGGTGTCAGAGGTGGGATAGATCACTGCACTATGTTTATTACATTTATTATTTTACTCCCATTATTATTGGAAGGATACGTAAGCACATTTACATTGAAAGTGGTTAGAATAATGGTTTAATCAGAGTTGGGCGATCATGTCTTAAATTATAGTTTTATGTAAATATTCAAAAATATTTAACCTACTGATGTCTGAATTAATGTAATTTTATTGGTATCTATTTATATTTTGAAATTTACCAGTAGCTGCTGGTAAAATTAGATGCTTTGGATTATATTCGAATATATATGGTACTATCCCTTTCCACCCAATATATTCTTTTGTAACCCTGGGTATATAAGTATAAAAATCAAACATTTGCTCATAGCAAACCAGCATGGGTGTGTTGTTTTTGTGATGTGTGCTGGGGAAAGAATTTAATTTCATTGCAATGTACAATGACAATAAATTATTCTATTCTATTCTATTTGCAAGACTTTCTAAATAGGCTGATTTTCCTTTTCATGAAGTTCAACTGAAGTATTTTCTGCAGAATTCATTGTAAACACTGAACATTAAAATACCTAGTGAGTCAGAGTACTTTTATTGTTCCCAATTTTTTTGGTGATCCCAACATTGAGCTAAGGGGACCCCATTTGGTATCGGTATCCACAGTTTAAGAAGCTGTGACTTAATAGCTTTTCCATTTTTTTCACTTGTCTTGATTTAACTAGAAGGTTGGGTGCTATTCTAAACTGCTCACTCCTCTTTTCTGCAGAGAAATACAATTTCCTAGGCATTTCCATTGTTGGACAGAGCAATGAGCGTGGTGATGGTGGCATCTACATCGGTTCCATCATGAAAGGAGGTGCTGTGGCAGCAGATGGGAGAATTGAGCCAGGAGATATGCTGCTGCAGGTACCTTCCTAAGTACAAAAGAAGACAGGTTTTCTAGGGTTTTACTTTTAAAGGAAACACCTGTCTTCCTATCACCAGATACTGTTGTTATCTGAGCTCAAATTGAAGGGATAATTAGGAGATGAATGGAAAGATTATCAGTAGCCCTTGGCAAAGACATGTATGTTGCCTCTCCCTACAATATAAATGAGAGGGAGAAAGCCAGAGTTTGTGGATGTCTTGCAAGGGTGACATTTACAGTTCTATAGAGAATGAAAAGGAGCACTGAGTCACCAAGATTTTTATTTATCATGTCAGATGCAAATTGAGAATGCAGTAATAATGTATAGAAAAACCACAAATTTAAAGTTAAAAGTTTGGCACTGTACTAAATTTCCTTTGACTAGAAGCTGGCCACTTGGAGTGTCTTTGGTGTCGCTGTGAGAAGGTCTTCCTTTGTGCATTGTAGTAAGTGGTCTGTGGTCTGCTCTCCACACCAGCATGTCATGGACTCCCCTTTGTAGCCCTTTTTCTTAAGGTTGGTTCTGCATCTCGTGGTGCCAGAGTGCAGTCAGTGCCTGCTTCTGTGTGCCCAGGAGAGGGTTTCTCATCTAGTCTCAGCCACTAATTGAGGTTCGGGGTTTTAGCCTGCCACTTCTGGAGTCTTGCTTGCTGAGGTGCTCCTGTAAGTATCTCTGTCGATCTTAGGAAGATGTTTCTTGATTGAAGGTGTTGGCATGCTGGCTAATATCTCACTGCCTTGGTCCTTTCATTATTGGCTGCTACTTTCTGATGGATGTTAGGTGGTGGAATACCGGCTAAACCAGGGGTCCTCAAACTAAGGCCTGAGGACCAGATACGACCCTCCGAGGTCATTTACCCAGCCCTCGCTCAGGGGCAACCTAAGTCTTGAAAGCACACAACAACAACAACAACAACAACAACAACAATCCTATCTCATCAACCAAAAGCAGGCCCACACCTCTCATTGAAATACTAATACGTTTATATTTGTTAAAATTGTTCTTCATTTTAATTATTGTATTGTTTTAAGTGTTTTTTGAACTACAAATAAGATATGTGCAGTGTGCATAGGAATTAATTCATGTTTTTTTTTCAAATTATAATCCGGCCCTCCAGCAGTTTGAGGGACTGTGACCTGGCCCTCTGCTTAAAAAGCTTGAGGACCCCTGGGCTAAACAGTGTGATTTCTCCAATGGTGTAGGGCTTGGACATCCTGTGATAATGTGGCATCTCTCATTAAGAGCCACATCCACTTAGTGAGATGTTTTCCACACTGGCCATACATATTCAGCAGCAGAGTGGCAAAGTGCAAGGGCAGATGTCTTCATTGTGTCTGGTTGTGATCCCCAGGTTGTGCCAGTCAGCTTTTGTACAATATTATTTCTAGCACCCACTTTTTGCTTGATAGTCAAGCAGTGCTTGCTGTAAGTCAGAGCACAGTCCAGAGTGATTTCCAGGTATTTTAGTGTGCTGCAATGCTCCAGTGGGGTTCTTTCCCAGGTGATGCTAAGAGCTCGAGGTGCTTGTCTATTCTTAAGGTGAAAAGTACACGTCTGTGTTTTAGATGGATTTGAATCAGCTGATTTTCCCTGTAATAAAGCGGTAGGAGTACCTAAAGCTTTGGAGAGCTTCTGTTCAACCATTTCAAAGCTCCCTGCTTGAGTGGTGACCAAGATAATCACAGTGGCTTAAATACTACTGTGAATCTGTAAACCAGGAAGGGAAATACACAGTTCCCAATAACCTCCTTTGTAATTTGATAGTGGTGCCAAAAATTAAAGTGCAGTATCTTTTGCTGCTATTTATTTATCGTGTCAGTATCTACCAGAAAATTGTATTAATTTAAAAAATTGTTTAACAAACAGACAAAACAGAGTTTGCAAGCTTGGTAGTTGATTAAATATCCTTTGACCAGTATCTGGCCATTTGGAGTGTCTCTGGTGTTGCTGCAAGAAGGTCCTCCATTGTGCATGTGGTGGGGCTCAGGTTGCATTGCAGCAGGTGGTCAGTGGTTTGCTCTTCTTTTGCTTCTGCATTGCTGGATTACAGTGATGTATGTATATCTGTATGTGAAAGTGTAGTTCTTTTTTTAGAAGAAGGTACGTGGTCCCCATGCATCTTACTTTAGTCATAAAGATCAATTCCTACGCAAATTTGTAAGTGTGTGGTTTTTTAAAAATTCTGTTGTGGGAACATGCAGTGCAGCCCACAGTGGCATTGTGGGTTGAGTGCAAGCACTTTCAAGTTGTACTTTACCACAACCACCCACCACAGACGGTATAGGTTGAATATTCCTTGTCTGAAATGCCTGGAACGAAGTATATTTTGGATTTTTAAAATATTCTGGAATGTTTTATTTGCATATGTGTCCAATATGAGATATCTTTGAGATGGGACTTAAGTCTAAACACAAAAATCAGCTAGGTTTCACATACACTTTATACACATAATCTGAAGATAATTTTATACACAATATTGTCAATACTTTTGTGAAAAAAATAAAGTCTATATACACTATATGAAGCGTAAAAAAGCAACTGTTTTGCTATCGAAGCCACTCACATGGACAATTTTTGGGTTTTGGAGTATCTTGGTAATCCAGACAAGAGATGCTTAAGTTGTATTGTCTTTGTCCCAATGAATCTTTCTGATTATGAAAACTTCTGAATTTTGATTTTGTAAAGAGTCTAGAAGCTTGTAATTTATCTAATGATAAGCATCAAGATAGAGTGCTGCTTGAGGAGAGAGGCTGTTGCTCAGTGGTTCCCAACCTTTGGGCCTCCAGGTGTTTTGGACTTCAACTCCCAGACATCCCAGCCATCTTACCAGCTGTTAGGAATTGTGGGAGCTGAAGTCCAAAACACCCGGAGGCCCAAATTTTGGGAACCACTGCTATAGCTGAATGTTAGAGCGCATCATTTGCATCCACTGCTGTCAAGCTCATTTTCTTGCATCTCCTGGATCAATAAGGCTGCAGATGACTTCTTTGTGAAGTCTCAGAGAGCCTTTTCCAGTCATGATAGCTATTATTTGGATAGACAAATTAATGGCAGCTTCCAGTGTTTCTTTGTGAACCACACTTTTAATGTGGAGCTTACACATATTATCTCTCTGCAGGTGAACGATATCAACTTTGAGAACATGAGCAATGACGATGCTGTGAGAGTGCTGAGGGAAATTGTACACAAGCCTGGGTAAGGCATTTCCCTTTTTTCCCATGTCGTACTTTGCTGTCTCTTCTTTTTTGAGACACCTCATTGTGCAGGCTCAAATGCTATGGACCATCTGGTGACAATAATAGAAATCCGCATCATTTAAACCATCTCCCCCATGTGAATTCTGAGAGTAGCTTGGAATGCAGATGGTGCGTTTCAGCACCAGAGATTCAGAAATAGAATTCTGGAAGAACAGCCCAATGCTGCATAGTTCTGGCAAGAGCAAAGGGCAAGGAGAATGGCACCAGCCATAATTTCTTCTGGTTGCACTACTGAATAAATAGAGTTAACTTTTCAGGTTGACTACGAAAGGTTCCCTGGAGTTAAAACATACATACTTACAGAGTATGTATTCATTTAGTGGCCTTCCTTTTTATTTATTTACTAGCTTGGGGACCCGGCGCTGCCCGGGTTATTAGAGAAAGTGGTTAATGGCGGTTCTGTATGCCAAGTTTGGTCTTTATTGGTCATTGGGTGATGGTTGCATTGTTTTCAGGAAGTGAGTGAAGGTACTTGAAGTCCCATTATCCATGGTCCACCCTCGTCCAAACAGCAGCAGGATATAGAGTGGGTCATGGGGGCTCTGTGTGCCAAGTTTGGTCTTTATCAGTCATTGGATGAGGGTGGCAGTGGTTTCAGTAAGTGAGTGATGGTACTGCAAGTCCCATCATCCATAGTCCATCCTCCTCCAAACAGCACCAGGATGTAGAGTGGGTCTTGCGGGCTCTGTGTGCCATGTTTGGTCTGCATTGGTAATTTTCTGACACAGCCTAAGGCCTTTTTCTCTGCTCTCGTCACCTCAGAATCTTGGAACTTTCAGGCTGGCCAATCAGAGACCATATGCAAATAGTACCACAGTGGCAGCCAATCAGAAAGCTGGCACATACGTCCGCCGCACTTCTGTTTGCCGCACTTCTGTCCGCCGCGTACAAACACTGACTTTTATTATATACATAGATTTAAAACATTTATATTCTGTCCTTCTCACCCCGCAGGGGACTCAGAGTGGAGCACAGCATATACACGGCAAACATTGAATGCCGGGACACAGATCCACAAATAATACATAAACATTAAAAAAATTATCAAAATATTAAAATACACCATTTAAAACCATCCTAGTCATCCTCGTTAAATCTAATTGGCCTGGTCATCTTTCCTATTGCCGCTTCATTGCCCTGTCCCGAAAGCTTGGTCCCACAGCCAAGTTTTTACCATCCTTCTAAAGGACAGGAGAGAGAGGGCTGATCTGATCTCACCAGGAAGGGAGTTCCATAGCTGGGGAGCAATCACCGAGAAGGCCCTGTCTCTCGTCCCCACCAATCGTGCCTGTGACAATGGCGGGATGGAAAGCAGGGCCTCCCCGGAGGATCTTAATCTCCGTGATGGTTCATGGGGGAGATGCGTTTGGACAGGTAATTTGGGCCGGGGCCGTTTAGAGCTTTTTAGGCCAAAGCCAGCACTTTGAATTGTGCCCAGTAGCAAACTGGCAGCCCTTGGAGCTGGCGTAACTGTTGAGATTAATTTCACAATTCAGCAGCAGATCAGTTGCACAACTTCAGCGCTTTCCAGTGGCTTCTTCCTGCACAGTATTTTCAGTCAACTGCTCCCACAAACTGCAGTCACTCTGGAACTCTTTTACAGACACTTGAGCACATGCCTGGCTATTGTCAGTTTTACCATTATCTTTCCCCCAGTCTAGATGACATTACAAACTTACCACAGCACACGGTTATATCTTGTCTAAGCAGACAGGTTCCTTTAATAAATTACACAGAGCCTTCGGCAAACAGCATCACAGCACAAGGAGAGAGTATACACTCTACATGACTTCCTTATATACAATTCTATACAATTACACATAGCAATCTCTGATTGGTTCCCAACTCATTAACTTAACTCAGACCCAGGATTGCATCATTCACAATCACCTGGACTAGGCCAGAACACATTCCCCAAATGATTCCCTATATACAGTTAATGCATGACTCAGCATTTCCAATAGAAGCCTATTAGCAGTGCATGACTCAGCTATATTACATTACAATACATTGTAAAACCTGACAGTAACATGTGAGTTGTATGCTCCCTGTATGCTGCCCCAGTTATTAGCCTGGCTGTGCTTCTCATTGGAGTATTTGAAGCTTCCGAGCCGTTTTCCAAGGCAGGTTAAACGTTTTTGAAAAATGGAGTGCAGTTAAATAATTACTTATACCCAAATAAGACATTGTGAAGGACCAAATATCATGTACAGATATGAACACTGGACTAGGACTCATTTCACATTTGCATGTTATTTTTAGTTTTGAATAAAAAAGTTTCTTGAAATACGTTGTACCATTTTTCTTTTTTCTGTAGTGTAAGAACCCAACTCTTATTATTCTCTCCATGTTATTTTTACCTCTGGTACTTTTTAAATGCAACGCAGTCTCATGAAATGGACCTGGTAGCAGCAAGAGTCTTTCTGTTTCTGTTTCAGACCCATCACGTTGACAGTTGCAAAGTGTTGGGATCCTAGCCCCAGGGGCTGCTTCTCGTTGCCTAGGAGTAAGTGGTTTTACTTTGACTTGGCTTCTTTGCGCAGTGTGTGCAGCGTTTTCCTGGATTGTACCAAAGGAGGATGCAGGTGTGGGGGTTACGTTTGGAATGCTCCTACGCAAGGGAGGAGTATTGATACCTTGCGCCTATGAAACTAGCATGTTCAGGAGAAGATGACTGTTTTCCCAGAGATGCTAGCTTTCAACATGTAGAGTGCCTTTTAGGTGCAAACCCTCACCTGCAGCCTGAAGGGGTTCAGTCCTGGAAAAGCTTTACTCCTAAAAGGTGAGACAGTCACAGAAGTTCTGACCCCTTCTTTCTCTGACCCTCTCCGCTTCCATCTATTTCTTTTGGCTTTTCACCCTGTCACTTTCTGCTGCCTCGTGTCTAATCAATCCTCTCCTTCCACGTCACTGCCTGCAATAAGTCACCAGACTAACAAGCCACTCTTCCTATATAGGAACTAGCATTGGGCCCAAATCATTGTTAATGCAAAAATGTGTAGTTTTCAGAGGGCCATTTTTGTGTAATTTCCAAAAACTGTAAGGGGAAGAGAGAGACGAAAAGACCAGTGAAACAAATTCATAGAGATGATATTTTTGGAAAGAGTTAAGTCCACAAAGTACCCGAGGCAGGTGGATGTGTGGTGTCTTTTTCTCTCCCCGGCAGAAGAAGCCTCCCCCATTTTTTTCTTGGAAAATTCCCTCCTCCTCCAGAAAGAACTCGCTTTCCCAGTGGCACTAGCATAGGGTGGCCATTGAAAGTTCCTATCAGAGCATGATGGAAGTTGAAGTTTTTCTATCTGTGTGTCTCTCAGCCAATAAAAATCCCGGTGGTGTCCATGGTTGAGAATGGACACAACTGGTGACTACAATTCCCAGAACCCTCTCTTGCGGTTTGTCTTATTTAAAAAAAATATTATGTTTTAAACTTAAAATAATTCTAAAACATCAGTGGTTTGGTGAATTGTTTTAAAACTTGGCAGGCCTGCAGTTGTAAATGGGGTCTACAACTGAGGTAGGTTTCATGCAGATAGGCCTTAAAATGGCTGAGGATTGAACCTTTAAAGTTTCCCATTGTACCCAATGAGCAGAATCTCTGTCGAATGAAATGGAAAACACCCCTCCCCTTTCGGGTAATTTTCTGGTAAACAAAATGAGGGTCAGACGAAAACAGACCTGGAAAGAGGTATGCCTTTTGGCCCAAGTGCACATGACTAATGAGAACAAGACCAAGCTGAAACGTTTTTGCTCTCTCATCCATGCCAGGGCAGCTTCTCCTCCTCCTACTATTCTCTTCCTCTTGCTGATCCTCCCTCTCTTCTTTCTCCCCCAGTTGCTCCCCAGCGGATTTGGGCTGGGCCAGACTCTCCATGCTCCGATCCGGGTGAGTCCCGGTTGATGCTGGGGGAGGACAGGGCTGCCCAGAGGTGTTGGTTTCGATGTGGGGAGCTTCCTCACTCTCGAGGAGGGGACTTCCTCACGCGCCGCCATGTCTTCCCTCTAGGTGAGCCCATACGACCCATTGACCCAGCTGCCTGGGTTTCCCACACAGCGGCGATGACTGGCACCTACCCAGCGTACGGTATGAGCCCATCCATGAGTACAATCACTTCCACCAGCTCCTCCATCACCAGCTCCATCCCAGAAACCGAGCGTAAGTCTCTGTGCCTGTGTGCTCCCCACCCCTGCCTGGCTTCCAGTCGCCCACGCACCATGCCTGATAGGAGCAATACATGCACAGGGGCAGAAACCCAATTTGAGAGTTGGAAGACAGACCTCTGTACTGGCTAAACTAAAAATGGAAAACTAGAAGAGATACAGGGAAAACTAGAAGAGAAAAAAAGGACATGGAAGAATCCCCAAAAAGCTAGGCTAAATAGGAAGTAGTTTGCTAGTTTGTTTATAGCAGGCATGGGCAAACCTTGGCCTTCCAGGTGTTTTGGACTTCAACTCTCACAATTCCTAACAGCCTACAGGCTGTTAGGAATTGTGGGAGTTGAAGTCCAAAACATCTGGAAGGCCAAAGTTTGCCCATGCTTGGTTTGTAGCATTGGATTGTTACTTTCTCTGGAGTAATGAGGACTTCTGTTGTATTGTCATGATAAATTGGAGAATCAGGTGGTTTCCAAGAGCAATAGAATCCTGAAAATTGGACACATTATTATATGAGCATCCAGCAGGTTGGTCATCGCCACAATTCAGAAGTGAATAGAGTGCTGCCCAACCTGGAGAAGCATTGCAGTCATTAAGTGGGTTGAAATAATGGGTTTCTATGGGGTTGAAGAACAGGGAGTCCTTATTAAAAATAATTGCTTACTGAAGGGGATGAATAGTTCTGGAACAGCCCACATGCTGCTCAGATTGTTGAAGTGGATGCCATGTTGATTTCCTTCCATGTGATGCAGATGTGATACACAACACAGAAAAGTGCATCTCTTTTCCAAAGTGAAACTCAGGAACAAAGAAAGGGCAGAGTGTTAGTTGGAAATCATGTGAGTTTTGCAGTAAAGAAATAATGCAGATATCCAACTGAACTGGAGGCAGATGTCTTCCTGAGGTGACCTCTGGTGTGATTTTGACTGGATATTATACATCAGGGGTCCTCAAACTTTTTAAACAGAGGGCCAGGTCACAGTCCCTCAGACTGTTGGAGGGCTGGATTATAATCTGAAAAAAATAATGAATGAATTCCTATGCACACTACACATATCTTATTTGTAGCACAAAAAACCCACTTAAAAACAATACAATAATTAAAATGAACAATTTTAACAAATATAAACTTATTAGTATTTCAATGGGAAGTGTGGGCCTGCCTTTGGCTGATGAGATAGGATTGTTGTTGTTGTTGTTGTTGTTGTGTGCTTTCAAGCCATTTCAGACTTAGGTTGACTCTGAGCGAGGGCTGGGTAAATGACCTTGAAGGGCCGCATCCGGCCCCCAGGCCATAGTTTGAGAACCCTTGCAATACATAGTGAGAAGTCTGTGGATAGCTCATGCTGTAGCATTGCCTGGCAGGATGGCCATTGACAGTCCAAGACTAACTACCTGGAATTTTCTCCAGGCAAAAAGAAACATACATAGGGTTGATGTCTATGGATATTGTAGTTGTCAGTGAAAATTGTTGTAAGACTGGAGCTGATGACAATCCATATGAAAAAGGCAAAGCAGAGCTCTGAACCTTCTCACTTAGCAGGAGATGCTGCAGCTTTTTGAGGCTGGTTGCTGCCTAGTTCAGAGAGGGACTGTAGAAACGAATGGCTCCTAAGGTGTGCCTGTGATGTATTGGTCCCTGGCCCCCATTCCCTCTGTGTGTAGCACCTCCATGTGCTCTCCTCGGCCTTTCCGTCCCCTCTCATCTCTGCCTCCCTTCCCTCCGTCCAACCCACAGGCCTCGATGACTTTCACCTGTCCATCCACAGTGATATGGCCACCATTGTCAAAGCCATGGCCTCGCCTGAGTCAGGCTTGGAGGTACGCGACCGTATGTGGCTGAAGATCACCATCCCCAATGCTTTCATTGGTAAGTGCATTATTATAATTATTATTAGAGGTAAAAGTATTAGAATATTCAAAACTTTATGCAGATGAAGTTGTTGGGTGTTGTGACTCAGCTTGACTCTGAGTCTGAAACTGAGCTCTTTGGGACTTCTGAGCCAGAATTCCTACAGGATGATGAGGATGATGGGTTACAGATTTCTGTACATGCTTCAGACAGGGCTGATTGTGGGGCTGCTGAAGGAGAGACAGCAAGTCTGTTCCCAAGGGAAAGGAATGTTAGTAAGACTGATAATGAGAGTGAATTCCCACACGGCCAGGTGGAGACGTCTTTTCCTCCCCACAGTGATTTGGTCCAGCTAGACCAAGATAAGGGGTTACATGGCCTTAAAGATAATGAATATATGAGCAGACAAGATCGTCTGCAATTCAGCCTCTGGAGAAGCACTCACTTGGCTAGCAAGCGAGAAGCCAAGGGTGCCAAAGGTCAACGCAATGCGTTCATGTCTGCAAAGGGTATTTATCCTTGTAGCTGACAAGCAGGGGCTGTCAGTCCAATGTAGCTCTTCCCATGCAAACTTCTGTGGATTAATTTTGGCTTTTAGCAGCACGCTTCTGGCATCCTGAGTTTGGGATTTGGGCCTTGTTTTCAACTGTTTACCATGGACTCTTGTTTGACCATTGCTAAAGGATTATGCTTCATGTTTTGCCTTTCGATCTTAGGTACGTTGTCTTTGCATTTAATCCTTTGTCCTGCCTATGGAACTTTTGCATTTCTTATACTTTGTTTTGATTTTGCCTTTTTCTCAATAAACTACAAAACCTACAGCTTTGGTGTGGTGGTGTCTGGAGCAAGGTGAAAGCTACCCTGAGTTGAAACATTGGGCGAGTGGGCTTACTAACAAAAGACCCTCCTCATAAGTGTATAGCAGAGTAACTTTTTAGCAGCAGTGTGACCCAGCACCAGTAGTCAAAAGTAGAAAAAGAAAACACACAGACCAATGTTATTGCTTCTATAGGAGGCTTTTCTTTGTAGTATAATAATGTGGTTGCACTATTAACAAGAACAAGGTTTCCATAACACAAACACTCACTCAACTCACTCAACCGACAGAGGACTTGAGACTTGAGCTGTGTGGAGTTGAATCCCAACAGTTTTAACTTGTTTCAACTTTTATGTAGTTCAATGTGTTTTTAAATGAAGATTATTTTTATTGTAATACTTTTTAAAAATGTTTGGATTTATTTATTTATTGGCTATAGGAAGGAATAGAAATGTTTTAATAAATAAACCCATCCATCCATACCTGACATATTTTTGTTCCCTAGCTATCATAGAGAAAAAATGTTTTAGGAATAAGGATGTTTAATGCAGGTTTCATATGTTCCATAATGCCAATCCATATTGATATTCACAAGTTTTAAAAAATAATTCAATTTTCTAATATAATAATAATAATATAATAATAATAATACTTTAGTTATACCCCGCTACCATCTCCCCATGGGACTCGGTGCGGCTTACATGAGGCCGAGCCCAAATACAACAATACAAGCAATAATAACAACAATACAAGCAATTAAAATGAAACATAGACAATAAAACAATAACGTAAGCATTGACAATAAGACAACACACTATTAAAATCAATGGGAAGGTCAAATGTAAATTGAAATTAAAAATAATGCTGGACATGGGCAAAAAAAGTGATGGGGCGTTTGTGGAAACATACAAGCAGACCTAATTTATTTATTATTATTTATTTATTATTTAGAACTTTTATATACTGGTCTTCTCAACCTCCGCAGAGGGACTCAGGCCGGTTCACAACAAAAATTCACAAACAGTAGTTTAAAATATCACACCACATAATGCACTAATACATAAAATACATTAAAATACAATCATATAATTACATAAGGCCAAGTCATCAGAATAAAATCACAATTCATCATCATCTGTCCGTGTGGTCAAGAGTTATTGACTAAAACAATGTAAAATGCTTTGGAGGACAAAGTCCTGTGGGATCATTATTCTGGGAAGGCACACTAGAACAACCACGTCTTCAGACTCTTTCTAAAGACTTTTGCTATTCTAATATCCTTTTGCTGTGCACTGTTATCTGGGAATAAGTCCTATCAAACAGACTGAGTTTTCTGTGACTTGGAGGTTAGACGAAGGAGATTCTCCTCTCTTTCCTTCCTTCCCTCCTTCCTTCTCCTTGCTGAGTCCCCATTGCTTCTCTCTGTTGACAGGCTCTGACGTGGTGGATTGGCTCTACCACCACGTGGAAGGCTTCACAGACCGACGAGAATCCCGCAAGTATGCCAGCAACCTGCTGAAGGCTGGCTACATCCGGCACACTGTCAACAAGATCACCTTCTCGGAGCAGTGCTATTACATCTTTGGCGACCTCTGCGGCAGTACGGCTCCCGTTTTGACTCTGGGTTTGGGGAATGGGAGAGCCAAAAACACTGAAGAGGCTGCTTCTTGCAGTCTCTCATGGGGCAACTGGTTTCTTGGGGGTTTGGGAGCAGAAAGGCACACAAAGCGAATCCACATAGGTCCCTTAGTCCTGAAGTCATCCTTTCCCTGTCTGGTCCCCTCTCCTTGGGGAGTTTTAACTTTCATAATCACTATTAAAGAATTAAGCATCTACACCCCCTGCCCTGCTTTTATTAGTTCAGCAAGAATTATGGTGTCTGTGGTGGCTGGGAGGTCCTTCGCACAGTTAAAACTTGTGTGCCAGCTGCGACTTTATCTTGAAAAGCCTGACTTGGCCTTGGTGGTCCATGCCTTAGCTACATCCAGGATGGACTACTGTAATGCCCCCCCCCCCACTTGGGGCTGCCTTTGAAGACGGTTTATTTATTTATTTATTTCAAATATTTCTACCGAGGGGGGGGGGGTGGACGATGACTCAGAGCGGCTTCCAGCCTGCATGATTCAATGCCTACATTTTTTTTGTCATGTCAGGAGCTACTTGAGAAACTGCAAGTCGCTTCTGGTGTGAGAGAATTGGCCGTCTGCAAGGACATTGCCCAGGGGATGGCCGGATGTTTTTATGTTTTTATCATCCTTGTGGGAAGCTTCTCTCATGTCCCCGCATGAGGAACTGCAGTTCATAGAGGGAGCTTGTCTGCCTCTCCCCGGATTCGAACCTGCGACCTGGGGTTTAACCCACTGCGCCCCCCGGGGGTTCCTACATGAGTACATTTATTATGTATAATATACATACTAAAGCCAATAATTGCATACAATTAAAACATTAAACCCATTCAATTAAAATATGCTTAAATATAATAGCCATATGGCCTTATCTAGCTGAGATTCCGAGATCGGAGACTCCATCCAGCTTGTCCATAGTCCATTGCCATAGTAATTTGTCCTCATTGTCAATATCCTTGTCAGCATAGTCACCCAAAGGCCTGGTCCCATATCCAAGTTTTCAGCTCTTTTCTGAAGGAGGGGAGGGATAAAAAATGACCTAATTTCCCAAGGGAGCAAATTCCACAGGTGGGGGGCCACCACTAAGAAGGCCCTTTCCCTCGTCCCTGCCAGGTGTGTTTGCGACAGAGGCAGGACTGAGGGCAGGGCCTCCCCAGAAGATTTTAAATTTCGAGGTGGAACGTAGAGGGAGATACGTTCGGACAGATACAGCAGGCTGGAACCGTATTGGGTTTTGTAGGTCAAGACCAGCGCTTTGAATTGTGCTCGGGACTGGATCTAAACTGCAGTTAGTACAAAGGTCAGCTGCCAGATTACTAACGGGAGCTAACTATAGGCAGCATACTATACTATACTGAAACAGCTCCACTGGCTTCCGACAATTTTCCGGGCTCAACTCAAGGTGCAGGTTATTACTTACAGAGCCCTATATGTTTCAGGTCCAACCTATCTTCGAGGCCACGTGCCTTTCTATGAACTGGTGTGGGTTTTGAGACCGGCAGGGGAGACCCTTCTCTCGGTTCCACCACCATCTCAAGAGTGGTTGGTGGGAAAGAGAGAGGGCCTTCTCGGTGGTGGCTCTAGAATACCCTCCCAAAAGAGATTAGATTAGCCCCAACCCTTGAATCCTTCTGGTCCAGCCTAAAAACATGGATTTTAAAGCAGACTTTTGGCCTTGAGTAGGCTGAAATGGGCCCATATGAGGTTGACAGTTTGGCACTTTAGATGTCAATTGAAGGCAGCTAGTTTTAACTACAGATGGTCTGTGTTTCGTTTTTATTTTATTTTATGTGTTAACAGTGGTTGTTTTATAACTTTTATGTAATATTTTTATACTCATGCACCGTTTATGTTATATACTGCATTTCTAGTGCCTTGTAAGCTGCTCCGGGTCCCTTTTGGGAGATGGTGACAGTATATAAATAAAGCTTATTATTATTATTATTTTATAGATACAGGAAAAGACTATAATGGTTTTTAGTGGCACTGTATGATGGTTACTGTTCTGGGTAATGTTGGTTCTCTTGTGCTTCCCTTTTGCAGACATGGCCAGCCTGTCCTTGCACGATCACGATGGATCCAGCGGTGCGTCCGATCAAGACACATTGGCTCCACTGCCCCATCCGGGAGCTGCGCCGTGGCCCATGGCCTTCCCATACCAGTACCCTCCACCTCACCCATACAACCCCCATCCTGGGTTTCCTGATCCAGGCTACAGCTACGGAGGGGGCAGTGCAGGCAGCCAGCACAGCGAAGGTAAATGTCTACCAACTGTCTCTCACACCATAAGGTTAATGCATCCAGTGACAGCTGATTTGGTTTATTGAATTTGAACATTTCCATTTAGTCTAAAGAAGGATCTTGCTTTTCACTTGGGAAGAAACGGATTACATTTCTTTTAAGTGCTTTTTTAAAAGCGTGATTATCCATGGTAAACAAAGTATGCTTATGGTCCATATATGGCTCCCAGATCCCACTTTTCTGATCCCTGAATCTCATATGCCCGTCACCCAAAGACCTCTGTTTTCCTCTTTAGTCTCTCTCAAAGTAGGAACGGGATGTGAAATGATATCACGTCATTGCAATTTTTAGAGGGCTTGCTGAGGAAAACTGAGCTGTAAGGAGCTTGATGTGTGTGTGGGTGAGGTGGTGGTGAAGCATTTGTGAGGTCTTTTGCGGAAAAAATAAACCCAAACCCCCATGCAGTTGCTCCTACTTAGTCAGGATCTTGTGTATGCTTCCAATTCACATTTTCCAAATTGCAACATCCTTAGGTTTCTCATCAGCAGATCCTAGGAAGTGATGCTCCACATTTTAGAATCTGCCGATTTATTTATTTATTGTGTCAGGAGCAACGAGACTGATAAGCCTCTTGGATAAGCCACATATTATAAGTCATTTGTGGCTGTTTTGATCTGAGAACTATCAAGTCTTTAGAGGAGATTGCCTTTGGACCAGAAAGGCTTAGTAAAATAAATAAAGAATGGGTCTTCCTCTCTAGCAGTGTTTCTCAATCTTCCTAATGCCGTGACCCCTTAATACATTCCCTCATGTTGTGGTGACCCCCAACCATAACTCTATTTTGCTACTTCATAACTGTAATTTTGCTCCTGTTATTAATTGTAATGCAATTATCTGATAAGCAGGATATATTTCCATTCATTGGACCAAATTTGGCACAAATACCCAATATGCCCAAAATTGGGCATATGTTTGATTGATTTTGTCATTTGGGATTTATAGTTCACCTACAATCAAATTGCATTCTGAACTCCAGCAACGACGGAATTGAACCAAATTTGGCACACAAAACTACCATGGCTAACAGAAAACACAGGAAGGGTTTGGTGGGCATTGACCTTGAGTTTGGAGTTGTAGTTCACCTACATCCAGAGAGCACTGTGGATTCAAACAATGATGGATCTGGACCAAACTTGACATGAATACTCAATATGGCCAAATGTGGACACTTGTGGCGTTTGGGGGAAATAGACCTTGACATTTGAGTTGTAGTTGCTGGGATTTATAGTTCACTTACACTCAAAGAGTGTAGTGAACCCCACTAACAATTAAATTGGACCAAACTTCCCACACAGAACCCCCAATGACCAACAGAAAATACTGTGTTTTCTGATGGTATTTGGCGACCCCTCTGACACTCTCTGGTGACCCCCGCAGGGGTCCCGACCCCCAAGTTGAGAACCACTGCTCTATAGTAACAATGAAATCATAGATTGCCCAGTCCCAGGTGATGTACTTGGCTTCTTCCAGATGACGTGCCATCCAACATGCTCTGTCATTCTCGGTTCCACTTCAACTCGGTTCCATTTCATCTCTTTTTGAAATGCCCCAGTTACTCTCTCCCACTTTTCCCCTTTGTCCACCACTTATGTCAGTTGCTGCAGTCACCCAAAGCTACCCAATAGTTAATAACAACAACAACAACAACAACAAAAACTTGTGTGACAAAAAGCTGTAACAAAAAGCTGTTGGGATCACAAGCCTGAAAAAGTTACACAAAATCAACATGTCAAACTACTCTGGGACTTCCAAATTCAGACTGACAGAGTTTTGGATCACATACTCCTGACCTCACAATTGTGGGGGAAAAAATAAAGCATGGATTGTCGATGTTGCAATCCCAGGTGACAACAGAATTGATGAGAAGCAACTGGAAATGCTTACAAGATATGAGGATTTAAAGCCGTCCTGAGTCCCTCTGCGGAGGTTGAGATAGGACGGATATAAAAGCCCGAAATAAATAAACAAACAAACAAACAAATAAATAAATAAATAAAGATAGACCTGCAAAGACTCTGGCACAAGCCAGTAAAGGTGGTCCCAGTGGTGATCGGCACACTGGGTACAGTGCCTAAAGACCTTGGCCTGCACTTAAAAACAATCAGCACTGATAAAATTACCATCTGTCAGCTGCAAAAGGCCACCCTACTTTGATCTGCACACATTATTCGCTGATACATAACACAGTTCTAGATACTTGGGAAGTGTCCGATGTGTGATCGACTACAAAAGCCAGCATAGTGATCTTGGTTGTTGTAGGTTTTTTCGGGCTATATGGCCATGGTCTAGAGGCCATATAACCATGCATTCTCTCCTGACGTTTCACCTGCATCTATGGCAAGCATCCTCGGAGGTCTTGTTTGCTATATATTTATCCTGTTGTGCATCTAATAATAGTAATAATTTTATTTCTTACCTGCCTCTCCTCATGGCTCCAGGGTGGGTTACAATATTGCTTAAACACATAATCAAAGCACACAATAATTTTAAAACCCTCAGTAGAATATAAATATTAAAACATATTTCGATAAAATTAAAATACACAAAATTACAATTAGACACAGAACGGAAGTTTAGTTTTCATGAAAAAGTTGGAATTCAGTTGTTAGAAATTGTGGGAGTTGAAGTCCAAAACACCTTGAGAGCCAAACTTTGCCCATTCCTGCTCTAACCCTTTCCCTTCCCAATTTTTATTCTCTTTGCAGGAAGTCGGAGCAGTGGCTCAAACCGCAGCGGCAGCGAGAGAAGGAAGGAACGAGAGCCCAAGGCCGGAGATTCCAAGTCAGGTGGCAGCGGCAGCGAGTCGGACCACACTAGTCGCAGCAGCATGCGCCGGGAGCGGGCGGCCAGCGAGCGCTCGGTGCCGGCCAGCCAGCGCAGCCACCACTCGATGGCCCACAGCCTCCGGAGCCACCACAGCCAGCAGTCCTATGGGCCGCCGGGCCTCCCGCCGCTCTACAGCCCTCCCATGCTCCTGATGCCTCCTCCGCCGCCCTCCGCTCTGGGACCCCCGGGGGCCCCCCCTGGCCGAGACCTGGCCTCCGTGCCCCCCGAACTGACGGCCAGTAGACAGTCCTTCCGAATGGCCATGGGCAACCCCAGTGAGTTCTTTGTGGATGTAATGTGAAGCACCGCCCCTCCCTGCCTCTGTCCCTGAATGTTTGCTGCCCGCAACGGTTTGTCTTCTAGGAACAGCCCAGCCTCAGCCTGTGTGGGATGTCCTTTTTTATTATTTTATTTGGTCTTGATAATTACAAAAAGGGAAAAAAACAAAAATAAACTGAACTAAAAATGTTTTGATTCTAATCCCTGCCTGCGAGTGGACCTGGCCGCCTCTCCCGAATCCCCCCCACCCGGACTTGATTGCCGAAGTGAATGCCCTTGCTTGCACCGGTCCCCTAATCCTTTTTCTAACCCCATTAATCTGCATTTGCCTGGGGTCTCCGCCGCTCGCTCACCTGTGTTTTCCGTGCCGGCTCACTGCTCCTGCCCTAAACACGTGCCCTCTTTCTTCTCGCCCCTTTTTGTGTTCCTTTCTGTCGAGCAGCCAAGAATTACGGGGTGTTTGACTTCCTTTGAGCCGGCCACTCGCGGTGGGGAGAGCCGTGGCGCGTTGTGGCGGTTCTGGTGGTGGTCCGGCTCCCCATCCAACAGAGGAAGACTCAAAACCCTACAGGCAGGCCCTTGGGCCCAATCTGGGGGCTGAAGATGGCTCTTTTCCCACAGGTGGAAAACACCTTCAACTTTTCCATAACTTGGGGAGGGGGAATGGGGCTCAATTCCAGCTTGGTGTGTCTTCACTCATATTAGTTTCAGAGGTGAAACACAAACTCCAACTTGGCCAGGCAGTAGAGACCTCCCTTGCTAAGGCTGATTGCTTCCCAAACTGGGGAAATGCCACAAATCCTTCGGGGAAGCTTGCTATGATTGATTACTTCCCAAACTGCAACAAGGGCCTCCTGAGGAAATGTCAGAAACCCTTTTGGGAAGCCTGCTCCATGTTTCTCTGCCTCCCAAAGTCTTGACTGAGGCCAGTAGTGAGAGTGCCGGTCCATCATATTCTCTGTTATGCCAAGTTCCTGAAACTACCAAAGGTACAGGTGCCATTCCCTCCTTCTGGAAATTGCACCCGCCTCTCCCCTCCAAAATGGATTTTCCTGTGCCAGCACTCAAAGTGAATTGTCTTCTTGCCGTGTCCTTCTCTTTCTGGTGTCCTGTCATAGGTTTTTTCCCCCCCTATCATATCTGTGCACACTTCTGTTAGTTTAGCCGCCTTGTTCCGCTTATCAGTTGCGAAATGTGTTTTCCATATCCAATTTCGTTTGCTGTTTTGCTTGGACTTTCTGCATACCTATGACAACTGCTTTGCTGTCCCCCCCTTTCTTCTTGTAATTATTTTTTCCTCGTTTTCTTTCTGGCGTTGTTTTTAAGTGTCCTGTGATCTTTCATTCTTCTACTTTTTTAATAACCCCCAAAACGCATTAAAGCAAACGAGAGGGAGGTTTTGTGGCCTCTAAATACTACACTTAAAGCAAACGAGAGGGAGATTTTGAGGCCTCTAAACACCTCTACACTTCTTTGCTGCCGTTCTAGAACAGAGCAATTTACTTAGATCAGGCATGGGCAAACGTGGGCCCTCCAGGTGTTTTGGACTTCAACTCCCACAATTCCTAACAGCCGGTAGCCTTCGACAACATACAGACAATTCCGGGAAATTTCCAAATGGCTCCACTGCATTTCACCCTAGCATTTCAGTCAGTCAAGAACTCCTTACTGGCCTGTTTTGCAACAATTCTTTCCTTTCCAGTTTTTCCTAAAAATTTGCATGTAAGTTGAGTTTTCTGCAAAAACATTGACCCCTTCCTTTCACATAACTCTGTTTCAGGTGTGATATTGCTCACACAGTGGCAACACTTGAGCCGATGCTAGGTATCCAGGCCAGTTGTATCACTAGAAATCGAACAGAATGGTGAGATCCAGTTCCAAGTTTAGGAAAAGAGGTGCCGACCGTTGACCCCTGGTGGCACAATGGGCTAAACCCTTGTGCCAGCAGGATTGCTGACCAAAAGGTCGGCGGTTCGAATCTGGGAAGCAGGGTGAGCTCCTGTCTGTCAGCTCCAGCTTCTCATGTGGGGACATGAGCGAAGCCTTCCATAGGATGGTAAAACATGCGGCCGTGCCCTGGGCAATGTCCTTGCAGACGGCCAACTCTCTCACACCAGAAGCGACTTGCAGTTTCTCTAGTTGCTCATTATACGAAAAAAATACAAACAAAACAAAACCGTTAGCCCAGGGAAGTCTCTGCAAAGGTGCATACAACAAAAATACCACTTATACATAAAGATAACAATAACAGAATTTAGCAAGCAGTTATATAAACATGTTGTACTGTTCAATTTCACAGTGATATCAAACAGTATATTAAAGAGACTGTACCAAAATTTACATAATATTGTTTGACATCACTGTGAAATATAAGTGGTATTTTTGTTATATGCACATATTCAGGAACCCATTTATATTAAGTCTCTGCAAATGCCAGCCCTTTTTGTGTGAGTGGTGGCACTTGATTTTATCATAATGGTAGTCAAGCAGAGTATGGATTGAAGCATCCACAGAAGAACATGGAAGTTGTCTTAATCTGCGGAAGCTGCGTGCTTTACAGAATGAATCTGTGTAGTTATCTTTGCAGAATCCCATTGTTGCACCCATGGAGTGCACATATCTATAGTTTTTCAGAATTTAGAATAGTGTCCAGTTCACTCCAGTACCAAACGTCCTTATTACAACTCTGCTGTTAGTGAGGAGGATTACTGAAGGTGGCCCTCTGTTTTACTTTTTGGTAGACTTTTCCCATTTGGTAGGCTATGCTTGTGCCTCACCTCCTGGTGGTACAGCTGGTTAAACTGCTGAAGTTGCTGACTGAAAGGTCGGCGGTTCAAATCCTGCTGTTAGGCCCAGCTTCTGCCAATTTAGCAGTTCGAAAACATTCAAATGTGAGTAGATCTATAGGTACCGCCTATTGGTAACGGCACTCCATGCAGTCATGCTGGCCACATGACCTTGGAGGTGTCTACGGACAACACCGGCTCTTTGGCTTAGAAATGGAGATGAGCACCTGGTTCCAGGGTCGGACACGACTGGACTTAATGTCAGGGGAAACCTTTACCTCTTATGTTGTGCTTCATGTAATTCTGCCTTTTATTTACTCACTTATTTGGAAATTTTAGATCATTTCACTGTTTTCCTTCCACTGGGGGAGACTTTATAGAGCGACTTCTCTCACCTTTTAGAGAGAAAACAAGGGGTACAAACAAAAATCTATATAAATGAAAATGTAATGTTCGTTTGTGGGATTAACAGAACTCAAAAACCACTGGACAAATTGACACCAAATTTGGACACAAGACACCTAACAACCTAATGTATGTCCTTCACTAAAAAAATGATTTTGTCATTTGGGAGTTGTAGTTGCTGGGATTTATCGTTCACCTACAATCAAAGAGCATTCTGAACCCCACCAACGATGGAATTGAACCAAACTTGGCACACAGCTCTCCCATGACCAACAGAAAATACTGGAATGGTTTAGTGGGCAATGTCCTTTGGTTTTGGAGTTGTAGTTCACCTACATCCAGAGAGCACTGTGGACTCAAACAATGATGGATCTGGACCAAACTTACCACAAATATTCCATATGCCCAATATGTCCTTCACTCAAAAAAAAATAGAATCTTGACATTTGGGAGTTGTAGTTGCTGGGATTTATAGTTCACCTACAATCACAGAGCATTCTGCCACCTATGACAGAATTGGGCCAAACCTTCCACACAGAAACCCCATGTGGGCTATAGCAACATGTGGCAGGGGACGGCTAGTAATAAATAAAATGCATACACTTGGGATAGAGCTTGTATGACCAAGTGTATCCTGAAAGTAGTCTGATCCCACCTTCAGAGGCAAATATTTGCCAGCTGCCATTGGAAGCTTAGTGGACTATGATGGAGGGCCCTTCCACACAGCCAAATAATCCAGAATATTAAGGCAGATAATCCACAATATCTACTTTGAACTGGATTATCTGAGTCCACACTGCCATATAATCTTTCAATGTGGATTTTATACAGCTGTGTGGAAGGGGCCTGGGATATCCATCATATCCAGGCCTTTAAAACTACATATTTGGGGATTGGGCTTATAGTCCTGCTGTCCTCAAGGTGTGACTGAGCCCCAGAACACCAGAGAAAAGAGAGCATAGAATCAAAGAGTTGGAAGAGACCTCATGGGCCATCCAGTCCAACCCCCTGCCAAGAAGCAGGAATATTGCATTCAAATCACCCCTGACAGATGGCCATCCAGCCTCTGTTTAAAAGCTTCCAAAGAAGGAGCCTCCACCACACTCCGCGGCAGAGAGTTCCACTGCTGAACGGCTCTCACAGTCAGGAAGTTCTTCCTCATGTTCAGATGGAATCTCCTCTCTTGTAGTTTGAAGCCATTGTTCCGCGTCCTAGTCTCCAAGGAAGCAGAAAACAAGCTTGCTCCCTCCTCCCTGTGGCTTCCTCTCACATATTTATACATGGCTATCATATCCCCTCTCAGCCTTCTCTTCTTCAAAGCAGGATGGGCGCAGGTGATAATCTTTCTCTCCCCATTTCTTTTCTCTTTGCATCTGCTTACTTCCCTCCCTTTTCCCAGTGTTGTCTTCTCATATTTTTTTCCTGGATGAAAGAGCAACCCGTTCAGGGCTTGAAGGAAATATATGTAAAGATGGATCAGTCCAGGCTGCTCTGCTGGAAGATGAGACAGTTTCTATGGGAACACTCTGTCACTTGTAGTCCTGCCATAGAACAGACATTCTGGCATCCAATTGGGAGAATCACTGCTTTCTGGCATTCATGCTGCCAGGTGGAAATCACAAGGACAGACAGGAGCCTTGCAGGAAATGAGGCGTCTTCCCTCGATATAATTCCCAACACGTTTGATTGGTTTGAATGTCGGACTAGGACTTTGCTCATGCCTGCTATATAAAGATGAGGCTGTTTCGCTGCCACTTTAGCCATCCCTGTTATGTTTTCCTGGATGCGACATTGTTTTCTCCTCTCTCTTGACCAGGTACTACTACACTTTTGCCCTGTTCCTCCTTCCGTTTCCTTCCTCCTCCTTTGGTGCTATCTTCCTGTGTCACACATATTCTCCCCCCTTCCAAATTTTATATAAATTGAAACCATCCTATGTGTTTTTTTATTTATAAAAATAGTTTTATTGGACTCCACGTGGTCTCGGTGTGGCTTATTTTAGTCCTAATATAATAATATATAATAATGAAACTTTATTATATACCTCTCTTTCTCTGTCCTAGGGGATTCAGTGCGGTTTCCAATCACAAAAACACACAAACATACAGAGTAAACAAAACATAAGCGTAAAATTATCAGTACAATACATCTATCTATATAAATAAAAATGTAATTTTCGTTTGTGGGATTAACATAACTCAAAAACCACTTGACGAATTGACACCAAATTTGGACACAATACAACTATCAGACCAATAATAATAATAATAATAATAATAATAATAATAATAATAATAATAATTTATTTATACCCTGCTACCATCTCCCCATGGGACTCGGGGCAGCATACATGAGGCCGAGCCCGCAATACATCAATACAAGCAATAACAGACACAATACAAGGCAATTAAAATAAATGTCATACACAAATAGCGTACACATTAAACAAAGTACAGTGCACATTTAAAATTTGTGGCTGGGCCAAATGTAATTAAAGTTTAAAAACAAGTGACCATCACTCATAAAAAAACTGAAAAACAGTGGAAGAGACTGAAAAAACAAAACATTACAACACATGGGCAAAACCACATATATACACATATACACAAATATGTACACACACACACACACACACACAAAACACATATACACAGACTGGGCCACAGCAACGTGTGGCAGGGGACAGCTATCATACAATAAAACCAGTCCCCCTTATTCTTCATGCCAAGGTTAGCTGGTTGGGCCAGAATTTCAGAAAGGGCCTAAGCATATAGCCGGGCCAGACTAGTGCAAGATATAGGGGCCAGGGGAATGGGTAAAGTGCAATAACCTGTCCCAGCAACAGTAATAGTGAAGCCATTTCCTGAGCGTATTGGAGAACTGACCGCGGTAATAGGTGAGGAGAAGGGGCATATTCTAGCTAGTGGCCAGGGGCTGGAGTTCATGCTAGTCATTCTCAAAGGCCTGGTGAAACCACCAAGTCTCAAGTTCTTACAAAAAGAGGAGAGGGATGGGGCCTGTCTTATTTCTCTGGGGAGGAGGTTCCAGAGGTGGGCCACCACCGAGAAGGCCTTCTCTCTCGTCCCCACCAACTGTGTTAATGACGGTGGTGGGAGCGAGAGAAGGACCTCCCCTGTGGATCTTTGAGTTTGCGCTGGTTTGTAGAGGGAGATGCGATCGCGAAGATAGCCGGGGCCCGAACTGTTTAGGGCTTTATAGGTCAAAACCTGCACCTTGAATTTGACTCGGCAACTTATTGGCAGCCAATGAGGCTGTTTTAATAGGGGCATTGTATGCTCCCTATAATATTGAGGTAATGTATTATATATATAGACATCTTCCAGAAAATTAGAAACATTGGAGGTAAATTTCAGGCAAAAATTGGTATGATAAGAAACAAAGTTGGCAGGGACCTAACAGAAGCTGAAGAGATCAAGAGAAGGTGGCGAGACTATACAGAAGATCTGTATAGGAAGGATAATAATATCGAGGATAGTTTTGACGGTGTGGTGAATGAATTAGAACCAGACATCCTGAGGAGTGAGGTTGAATGGGCCTTAAGAAGCATTGCTAACAACAAGGCAGCAGGAGATGACGGGATCCCAGCTGAACTGTTTAAAATCTTAAAAGATGATGCTGTCAAGGTGATGCATGCCATTTGCCAGCAAATATGGAAAACACAAGAATGGCCATCAGACTGGAAAAAATCAACTTATATCCCCATACCAAAAAAGGGAAATGCGAAAGACTGCTCAAACTTCCGTACAGTGGCCCTTATTTCTCATGCCAGTAAGGTAATGCTCAAGATCCTGCAAGGAAGACTCCAGCAATAAATGGAGCGAGAGTTGCCAGATGTTCAAGCTGGGTTTAGAAAAGGCAGAGGAACGAGAGACCAGATTGCCAATATCCGGAGGCTGGAGAATGGAGAAAGGCAGGGAGTTTCAGAAAAACATCTACTTCTGCTTCATTGACTATTCTAAAGCCTTTGACTGTGTGGATCATAATAAATTGTGGCAAGTTCTTGGTGGGATGGGCATCCCAAGCCACCTCGTCTCTCTCCTGAGGAATCTGTACAAGGACCAAGTAGCAACAGTCAGAACTGACCACGGAACAACAGACTGGTTCAAGATTGGGAAAGGCGTACGGCAAGGCTGCATCCTCTCACCCAACCTTTTTAACTTGTATGCAGAACACATGCGGGATGTGCGGGGCTTGAGGAATGCAAAGCTGGGGTGAAAATTGCTGGAAGAAACATTAACAACCTCAGATATGCAGATGACAGCACTCTGATTACTGCAGATGCAGACTGTGGCCAGGAAATCAGCTTACTTCTTGGGAGGAGAGCAATGACCAGTCTCGATAAAATAATGAAGAGTAGAGACATCACACTGGCAACAAAGAAACGCCTAGTCAAAGCCATGGTATTCCCTGTAGTAACCTACGGATGTGAGAGCTGGACCTTAGGGAAGGCTGAGCGAAGGAAGATCGATGCTTTTGAGCTGTGGTGTTGGAGGGAAGTGCTGAGAGTGCCTTGGACTGCGAGAAGATCCAACCAGTCCATCCTCCAGGAAATAAAGCCCGACTGCTCACTGGAGGGAAGGATACTAGAGACAAAGTTGAAATACTTTGGCCACATCATGAGGAGACAGCAAAGCCTAGAGAAGACAATTATGCTGGGGAAAGTGGAAGGGAAAAGGAAGAGGGGCCGACCAAGGGCAAGATGGATGGATGGCATCCTTGAAGTGACTGGACTGACCTTGAAGGAGCTGGGGGTGGTGACGGCCGACAGGGAGCTCTGGCGTGGGCTAGTCCATGAGGTCACGAAGAGTCGGAGACGACTGAACGAATGAACAACAAATATATATATATAT